ACACAGGCAGGCAGTCACAGACATACACACTTACCTCTTTCCATTATGGCTGGAAGGGGGAGTGGATGCAGTTCCTATGCAGCAGTTCCAATGGGGCTTCTGGTATTTATTAGCTCCGCCTCGTGATAAGCCCTGCCCCACCACTCATTAAGCTCTTCCTCATCTGCCGCAATTATTATTATTATTAATTTTTTTATAGACCCGGGTGGAGAATAATTAATCCTCCACCCGGGTACCTGTTTTAGCTCCCCTGACACCCGCCATTTGCGAGCTGTGTCGGCTGTCAGGGCACCCCCTGGTCCATGGCGCCCTGTGCCCTAAGGCCGGCCCTGATGGTACTTGTACACTAGGGGGCAACTTGTTTAACATCAGTTCCTATATATGCCCAATTCCACTTGTAGGATGAGATCTTCTGTCAAAGCTTCAAGCACAGATAACATTTTTAACTAATGGATCAACGTCCCTAAGGTATAATAAAATCACCTGGCATGTTAGCTGTACTGATGCCAAAAGAAGAAGAATGGAGTCTGTGTTCTGCAATAGTAACCCCGAACCCAAAGAGTGATGGATCTTTATTTGATATTCCAGAAGTATGGGCAGAAAACAATCCTCCAGGACTTGCTCATAGTATTCCACCCATACATACTAAATTAAAACTTGGGGCTTGTCCTGTTACCCACTGCCAGTATCATATACCTCAGAAGGCCAAGGAAAACATACAGACATACTTGGACAAGTTTGTAAAGTATGGCATCCTGAAATTCTGCACCTCCCCATCGTACACTCCATTATTACCTATTCAGAAGTCAGGGTCTAATGAGTACTGTCCTGTACAAGATTTAAGAGCAGTTACATAGTTGCATAGTTACATAGCTGAAAAGAGACTTGCGTCCATCAAGTTCAGTCTTCCTCACATATGTTTTTGCTGTTGATCCAAAAGTAGGCAAAAAACCTAGTCTGAAGCGCTTCCAATCTTGCAACAAACTAGGAAAAAATTCCTTCTTGACCCCAAAACAGGAGTCAGATGTCTCCTTGGATCAAGCAGCTATTACCCCACTAATTAGAAATTATATCCCTGTATGTTATGTTTTTGCGAGTATTTATCCAATTGCAGTTTAAACATCTGTATAGACTCTGACAAAACCATTTCTTCAGGCAGAGAATTCCACATCCTGATTTTTCTTACAGTAAAAAACCTTTTCTTTGCCTTAGATGAAATCTGCTTTCTTCCAGCTAAATATGTGACCTCGTGTCCTCTGTGAAGCCCTGTCTATGAATAGGGTTCCAGATAAAGGTTTGTACTGGCCCCGAATATATTTGTATAATGTTATCATATCCCCTCTCAGGCGCCGTTTTTCAAAAGTAAACAGATTTACATTTTTTAACCTTTCTTCATAACTAAAATGCTCCATTCCTTTTATCAATTTTGTAGCTCGTCTCTGCACTTTTTCTAGTGCCATGATATCTTTCTTTAGAACAGGTGCCCAAAATTGCACAGCATATTCAAGGTGTGGTCTTACCAGCGATTTATAAAAAGGCAAAATTATATTTTCATCCCGAGAATTTATGCCCCTATTTATACATGTCAAAAAATTACTGGCCTTAGCAACTGCAGATTGACATTGCATATTGCTGTTTAATTTGTTGTCTATAACAATTCCCAAATCCTTTTCGTGTGTTGTTATCCCTAATTCACTACCATTTAGGGTGTAAATTGCTTGTGCATTCTTAACTCCGAAGTGCATAACTTTGCATTTCTCTATGTTAAATTTCATCTGCCTTTTTAGTGCCCAGTCCCCCAGTCTATCTAAATCCCTCTGCAGCAAAGTAATATCTTACTCACATTGTATTATTTTACAAAGTTTTGTGTCATCTGCAAACGCTGAAACATGACTTTCAATGCTGTCTTCAAGATCATTTATAAACATGTTAAATAGAAGGGGTCCCAGAACAGACCCCTGAGGGACACCACTTGCCATCTCTGTCCAGCTTGAAAATTTACCATTAATGACAACTCTTTGTACTCTGTTTTTAAGCCAATGTTCTATCCAAGAACCAGCAAGATCCGGTTGAAAGATCCGGTTGAAGCGAAATACCCAGTCCCTGGAACGTGATCAAAGTAACTCCAGAATTACAAGCCTATCCTCGTGAACCTTTATTAGAGAGGACATCAAAAAGCTGCATGTAGGTGTTTTGACGGCCATAATAAAGCCTGACAACCTATCAACATTTCGTAGTCAGAGCATCCTGAAGGGACCTCTGTGAAGGGAAGAGAGGATCACATAGACAACATTCCCTGCAGCCCTCACAACCGAGAAGATGAGGTGCCGTCGCATGGTTAAAGATTTGGATAATGACATCTATTGTATTTCTTTTTGTGTGTTAGTATTTTAATATTATATATGGAATTAAAATAGATTGATATACAAGGCTGTGCTAGTTGTATCAAGATACAAAGACAGGCAATCAGATATCCCAGACTCTCATTTGGCATTCGTATTATAAATGTAAAGGATCTGTGTCCAAATGCAGATACCTAGATCCTGATTATAGCGTATGTCAGCCAGCTTCAGGTGAACCCAAGTTTTTTGATCCCGAATTTCAACCCCGTACAATTTGTCTGGTTCTTCGAAATGCTCACTCAGGGACTTTAATAAATAAGATCCTATTAAGCACTACTACATCCCTAGGCATCCTATTAATCAATGCATGCAAAGCAATTTCTGGTAGTGGAAAACCGTGGAATATATATCCAGTAACCTTAAGTTGGAGCAAACATATGGGTTTAATGATAAATGCCTATGCCCTAGTAGAAAAACCACTGACCCTGATTGTCCAAATAGGGACTTCAACTTCTGCCCATATTGGTCATGTGCAAGTTGGGCAACCTGGGGAGAAACAGTAGACCAAGACCTGATAATTCAAAGATTACCTACTACCCCTCATTGTAAATCGATAAAGTGTAACCCTGTACATATGACAATTTCAAATCCCCATCAATTTATAAATAGGTTTTGGAATCTTTTTGGTTTCCAAATATACAGTACAGGAACAGATTTGGGAGTCATCCTATATATAGGCCTTGAAACGGAAACCCTAAATGCTCAAACTCATCAGGTATTCCATTCCTTTTATGAGGAGATGAGTAGTGAAGATGAAGTTCCACATACTGTTAAAAACCTGTTCCTTGATCTGGCAGAGAGTATTGCAAGTGGTCTTAACTGCATTGTTTGTGGAGGCACCAATATGGGAGATCAATGGCCATGGGAAGCGAGAAGTATGGTATCCTGGTTCTTAGACAAATGAGCAACAGATGCCTTCCCACTCTAGTAATCAAGCAATCACAGGGAAAAAGTCGGAATGGTAATTAAAGACATCCATAATTGACCACGTATGTTTGGCTAAGGCAGGGCCAATGTATAATACACCTGTAGGCGAGTTGACCTGTCAAGGTCAGAAAGCATATAATTGTTGCAACAGAGGAACCACTATAGTGCCAAGAAAACATACTTGTTTTCCTGGCTCTATAGGGTCTCTAGGTCCCCCCCACCCTCTGGGCCCCCCTCCCGCCGGGCTCTAGGGGATGGAAGGGGTTAAATTTTACCTGTTTTCCCACGCCAGGCTCCCTCGGCAAGAGCTGTGTGCGCATTCAGCCAGTCCATAGGAAAGCATTCTCAATGCTGTCCTATGGACACTGGTGTCTTCTCACTATGAAAATCACAGTGAGACAGCCACTAGAGGCTGGATTAATCCATTTGTAAACATAGCAGTTTCTCTGAAACTGCTATGCTTACAGCAGGCAGGGTTAACCCTAGATGGACCTGGCACCCAGACCACTTCATTAAGCTGAAGTGGTCTGGGTGCCTATAGTAGTCCTTTAACAGTTTAATTGATACACTTTTATGAAGAAGTGGGTTTTTAATGAGTTTTTGAAGGAGTTGAGACTGGGTGAGCATCTAATGGAGGAGGGAAGTGAGTTCCACAGGAACGGTGCAGCCCTCGAGAAGTCTTGAAGGCGAGCATCAGAGGTGGGAGCATAGGCAGAAGATAAGACTTAAGCCTTCAGGAGAGCGTGAGGGCCTAGATGGGACATACGTGTATATTAGGGAGGATAAATAAGTGGGAGCAGTATTATGTAGAGATTTGAAAGCAAGAAACAGAATTTTAAATTGAGCCCTATATCTTACAGGAAGCCAATGTAGGGACTGACAGAAGGGTGAGGCGTGGGAGGTGCGGGCGGACATGAAGATGAGCCTCGCTGCCGCATTCATTATTGACTGTAATGGCACAAGTTGTGAGCATGTTTATGAAGCGGATTACAGTAGTCAAGGCGAGAAAGGACAGTAGAATGGACCAGCACCTTAGTCGCATCTGGCGTTAAGTAGGGTCGGATGCGCGCAATGTTTGTGAGATAGAAGCGGCAGGATTTGGCGACAGACTGAAGATGAGGCGTGAAGGAGAGGTCGGAGTCAAAAAGAACACCTAGGCAGCGAACCTGCGTGGTGGAGCTGATGGTAGAACTGTTGACTTGGAGGGAGACAGACACAAGAGTAGCCACACAAGGAAGGAAAGACCAGAATTTCAGTTTAAGGAAGTGGGCAGTCATCCAGTTAGAAATAGCAGAGAGGCAGTCAGAGACACTAGTCGAGAGGGACGGGGAGAGATCAGGAGAGGACAGATAGATTTGCGTGCCAACTGCATAAAGATGATATTGGAAGCCAAAGGAGCTAATGTGTTTACTAAAGGAGGCAGTATAGATGGAGAACAGTAAGGGATCAAGGACTGAACTTTAGGGGACACCAACAGACAGAAGTTGGGGAGAAGAAGCAGAGCCAGAGAAAGAAACACTGTACATAGTGTTATCGAGTATACTATTGAGAAGAAGACGGCATCCCATGTAATGGCCATCTGGAGCCTTTATCTTAGAGAGAAGTAACCTGTAATAAGGTAGTTGAGCTTTGATAAGTTTTCATAGGAACTTCTTCTAGGGTCAAGTTTAAAAAGCTTCTATAGTTTCTCCTGTACTGTATTTACCTGAGTGGCATTGGCAAAGTATGGTGAGTGATGTATCTTGTATACATAGTTTCAGAAGCATCACAGGGGATCTGTGAGGGGATCTCAGCGAGGCCCAAAATTTAGTAAGCCTAAAATCTCCACATGGCATATACAAGCACATGCATCTGTTAGTTACACGTATTCAGGAAACTGTCATCAATGTACTGAGCAGGTGCAAGAACTGAAACCACATTCCATTCTCTCCTAAGTTCCATACTGCCTGTCCATATAAAGTAATCCTGTATATCCTGATTGGTGTAAGGGTACAGATGGTGAATGTATAGTCTATAAAATGCCTGTACTCCATGTGCTCAGGGCTCACACATTTTGGACATGGGTTCAGCTGAGACCCTATCGGTGAAAAATTTAAAATAAAGATCTTTGCTTCCTGAACTGACCTGCGTCCGGACTCTGTGTGTGGCTTCTTCAGAGTTCTGCTATTACAGGATCTCTCTGTAGCTCTTTCCTTCCAGGCAGGTATTGTCCCCTCTGCCTATTCCTGTGCAGTCCTTCTTGTCAGAAAAAAGTCTACTGACTTGAAGACCAGCCTGAGGTACAGGAGGTAAACTGGTGATGTGAAAAAGGCTATGCGACTATTAGAAAAGGATGACTCAAATGGAACTACACAGTTTGCCAAACATCAATTTCAGCCACCTCATGGAGGTAATAATATGTAGGTGCCCTCAGATGAGACGGCTCCCATCAGAGTCTCTAGCAACATTCCCATGATTTTTGGAGGAAACTGAAATCCACTGTGAGGATTATTTTTAAAGGAGCAAAAGGTTCAAGAATTAGACCTGTCATACAATGGCTGGTTTAATAAGTTATGTGATGATAGTAGGTTATAATACAGATTTAAAGGAACATAACAGGCACCAAAACAAGGTAATTGAAATAAAGTTGTGAGGGTGCCAGAGACCTCATGGTTCATTCCCTTTAAAGCTTAAACCATCATGAACGGTACATTTTTCATGAATAGGTAGCTACTGATTTCCTTGGAGTGTCAGCTGACAGGTCTAAGCCAATCAGTAGTGCCCCTGCCTGACGGCAGGCTGTGCTTCCTGGATCACAATTGAGAAAGTGGATGTGAATGGTTAGAGAGATGAACATTGGAGAGACAGATTCATGGTTAAACCATTTGTGATAGCTTTAACCCCTGAAGGTAAGGAAGCACCAGGGGCTCCAGGCACAATAACAACTTTATTTTGATTAAGTTGTTATGTTGCTAGAAATGTTAATTTAAGTTATATCTGAGGTTTCATGAATATGTGTAGGAGGGAAGCCTGGAGGAACAGGCCTTTGTGGATGAGGATCATTAAGAGAATGTGCAATCCCTCCCACCCCCCTTTTTTTCCTGACCTTGAGGCGATTAGTGGTACACATGGTAACAGCTGAGGAATCAGAAGATTTAGCACTTGCTTTAAGTTAGAAATATCACCATTGTGTAATATGTACTATGCAAACCTGAACTCTGATATACCATACTTTGCAAAACCACTGTATTTTATTGGTTATTTGTATATGTACCAATAAAGCTTAATAAAATGTTTTACAAAAAAAAAAGAGAGAGAGAATGGGCCCAAGGGGGAGACAAGAGTTTTTGTGCTGTCTGTCTCTTCTAGATCATATGGATTCTTTTCATGGCAGATCACACACAAGCAACAGACTCAGATACCATGAATGGTCCCAGAATTGCAAACAACTAATTTATATGCTCTAGTCTAGTCAATTAACCTTTTATAAGCTATGTTATACATGACATATTTCATATAAAATGCCTGACTAGTCTGAAAGAAGGAAGAAAAATAACTTTTGTGCCTATAAAATACTCTCCAGGTAGCCACCCTACTGGAGAAAAGTAGATTACTGAACTAGTAGAAGATTCATTCATAAATTTTACTTAATTCCACAAGAAAGAGAGGTGATGTTTTTAGATGCTTTTCAATAAGAGGAGATTTAAACAGATCCATGAGTTCTGAACATTGTAATCTTAGGTAGACAGATCAGATGTCTTCAGAGCTAAAAACAAAAGGTAAACTATCTAAACTAAAGCACAAATTTTCTAAAATGGACACTGGGATCCATGTGACACATTATGAGACATGAGTGCAACAATAACCTAGGAGCAAAACAAAGTTAAAGGACCACTATAGGCATCCCAGCTCACTTAATCCCAATGAAGCGGTCTGGGTGCAGTGGTCATGTCGTTTAAGTCCTTCAATGAAAAGCATTGGCATTATGTAGATTTGCAGGACTGCCATCAGAAATTTTGGAGCCCCTGACACCTGACACAGTGCAAGGTCTGAGCTTCTGGAGTTTGCCCCAGAGTCCACCCAAAGGGCCCATCCTGGGTCTGCCCACAAGGATGTGTGTGTAGTGGATGTAGTGTGTGTGTGCTGAATCTGGTGTGTATAGTGGGTGAAGAATGTGTGTAAAGTGGATGCAGAGTGCGTGTGTAAAGTGGATGCGGTGTGTATAGTGGATGCAGATTGTATGTAGTGTTTATGTGTATTAGTCCCAGTGTGTGTAGTGGACGCAGAGTGTGTGTGTTTGTGTAGTGGATGTAGCATGTGTATAGTGAATGAAAATTGTGTGTTTATGTAGTAGATGTAGTGTGTATATAGTAAATGCAGTGTGTATTTGTGTATTGGATGTAGTGCTCGTCTGTATTAGATGCAGTGTGTGTGTGTAGTGTCTGTGTGTAGTGGATGCATAGTGTGTGTGTAATGGATGCAGTGTTTGTGTGTATTAGATACAGTGTCTGTGTGTAGTAGATGTAGTGTGTATAGTGTGTATAGTGAACGCAGAGTGTGTGTTTGTGTAGTTAATGTAGTATGTGTATAGTGAATGCAGAGTGTGTGTTTTGTAGTGGATGTAGTGTGTTTATAGTGAATGCAGAGTGTGTATTTGTGTAGTGGATGATGTGTGTGTATAGTTAATGCAGAGTGTGTGTTTGTGTATTGGATGTAGTGTTTATATGTATTAGATGCAATGTGTGTAGTGGATGCAGTGTCTGTGTGTAGTGGATGCATTGTGTGTGCTTATGTAATGATGTATTGTTTGTGTGTATTAAAGAGACAATGTAGGCACCCAGACCACTTCAGCTCATTAAAATGGTCTGGGTGCAATGTCCCATCAACCTTTACTGCAATAATTACCTGCTAGGGTTAACTCCTCCTTTAGTGGCTGTCTATAAGACAACCACTAGAGGGACTTCCTGGCTCGAAGGCGACTTTTGGTCACCTAAATGACGCTGGACGCCTTCACCCTATGCATTAGGACAGTGGTGGCTCTCTAATTAGGCGGCTGCCTAAGGCCTCGGGCTGTCTGGGGTCTCGCAGCTGCCTAAACAGCCTTGGGGCAGACTATGTCGGGTCCTCGGTCCTCGGTGAGAGGCCCCTCCATGCTGTCTGCCCGAGAGGAGAGCGCCCATGGCCGCTGGTCTGCAGCTCTGCAGTGTGCAGAGCTGCAGACCATGTGTCTTGCGAGATTTGGCCAATCAGAGTGTTGCCGCAGGTTACCACGGCAACGCTCTGACCAAGTCTTGCGAGATACATGGTCTGCAGCTCTGCACACTGCGGAGCTGCAGACCGGATATCCTGAAAACCGAACCACCAGGGAGCCCACCAAGGAAATAAACAAGGTATTTCTCACCCCCCTCCTTCCCAGTATTCCCCCCCAGTATCCTCCCCTCCTTCCACACCATCACCCCCTGCCTCCCAGTATCCCCCCTCCCTCAAACCTTCACCCCAACCAAGTATCCCCCCTCACACCTTCACCCCCTCCCAGTATCCCCTCTCTTTCACTATATCACCTCCCTCCAGTATCTCCCTCTTTCATACTATTACTCCTCTCCCTCCCAGTATCCCCCCCTAACACTATCACCCCCCTGCCTACCAGTATCCCCCTTTCCACACCATCACCCCCCTCACTCCCAATATCCCCCTCCCTCACACCTTCACCCTCTCCCAGTATCCCCCCTCTTTCACACTATAACCCCTCTTCCCTCCCAGTATCCCCCTTCTTTCACACTGTGTGACAAACTCCCCTTTTCAAGTGAATTTGCCATGAGTTGTGTGCTGTGTGTGGGAGTGTCATGCCTTATAATCTTATTGTTATTGGTCTGTGATATTGTAAATCAGTCCACCATCAGGTCCATGTGGGCGCACCCCTTGCCTGGGAATTGTCATATAAGGCCAAGTGTGGCACCATTAAAATCTATTCCAGCTTACACTCCAAGACTGTGTGTCGTTCTGTTATTGGAGGGAAAGAAGATTTACTCCTGTGTCTGCTGTTCCAGCTTGCAGGAGTTTCAACAGGGAAAGTCTTTGTAAGGACTAGAGCTCCCAGGACTGAGTATCACCCAGTGCCTGGGGGTGTCTAGAGCTAATTCCCCATTCGGCTCCAGTAGGGAGCGATTCCAGGACCCGAGTCAAGCCACGGCAACTGAAGGTAAGACTGCCGAGGCTTGTCCCCTGTTCCAGCTAGGAAGCACGGTCACAATCACCCCCTCCCTCACACTATCCCCCTACTTCACACCTTCAAACCCCTCCCTCCCTCCCAGTATAGCCGATTGAACTAAAGCTGCCTAGCCTCTATAGCTAATGCTGAAGACTGCTAAAGGTACATTCTGTATCTAGGTGGATATAATGTATCCATATGTCTATAATAGTCTATTGTTGTATACTCTGTAACAATCTAAAGTGTAACAAGGCTAGAAGGATTCTAATATCCATTACTGTCGGAATGCTCCAATGCTGTACATTATAAATTATTTATGGGGCATAACTTTAACATTAAACCATACATTTATAAAAAACATTAGCAGGTGTTCAAAAGGCCCTGTCTATGACATCACTTGCTGCTGCAGCCTTGACAGGTCAGAGTATTTTGATGGTTGCCATCTTCAAACGGTCGTATTTTAAAAACTATAAATACTACTGCGAAGAGCTTTATATTGTGGGAATCACAAGACCCAGACCTACATTTTGATGCATAGTATGTCTCTAAAGTATTAAAAATGAAGGCACAGTCGCAGTTTAGAAATTGCACTTCAAATTTGAGCTTTGTAGAGTGAAGTTTCAATGAATGTCAATGGACGGCGTTAGTTGCAAACAAATGATTATATTGTGAAAACTATCAGGACTATGGCTTAGCCGTTGACATTTCTAGTGGCAGCAGGGATAGCTGAACGTTTTGATATAAGATTTGTGTAGGTGCCCCCCCCCGTGCTCATCTTTCACTCCCCATCCTGACATCACCTAGCACTCAAGAGTGGCAAAGGGAGGATTTCTAATATTTAAAAATTGAAGTGGTCATGGTGGTTGTAGTAACCCTTTTAATTGGTTATACTTTCCTGAAAAAAAACAAACCTATGGGACTAACACACCAGGGACTTACACTTTTAAGGTTAAAACAGTGGAAACGTGAAATACCCCTCCACCCCTGCCTTTTTGTTTTTTATCAGCTGGTTTACTTTCTCATGACAGTTCAATTTCTTTTGTCAGTGAACATACCCCCTCTAATGAAACATAGCATTACCATCCTGCAGCAGTAACCAGTGTTTTACTGGTGATCAATAAAGTTTTCTATTCAAAGCAGTGCCTCTCACGTCATCATCCCGCGACCGATGTGAATCCGCTCTATAGTCTGGAGAGCAAGGCAGTTGAAGGCGCGGAAAGATGCCGAAGGTCGTGTCTCGCTCGGTGGTCTGTTCGGATACCCGGGACCGGGAGGAGTACGATGACGGAGAAAAGCCCCTCCATGTTTATTACTGTCTGTGCGGGCAGATGGTGCTGGTCCTGGGTGAGTTCGGCTTAGATTAGCGTTCGGACCCGGAAGAGCTGCAGCTCCAGAGTCACATTAGGGAAGCTGTGGGTTACCCCTTGTGTACAACATGGGCAGCATCAGACCTGCCTGCAATATCAGAGAGCCATCCTCCACAACGTTAGGTAGGGGGTGACTTCAAAAGGGAGAGAACTCTTTTAATGTGGACTCTGTTCGTTACTTCAAAGATCTCACTGGAAAACTGCAAGAGATCGTTGCCCAACATATGGTGTTTAGATTAGAGGTGGCAGGAGATTACATACTTCCCAAGTATCCCTATTTTGGGATCTCTCTGTCCCATTTTTCTATCCTAATGTCCCTCTTTTATTGGAGCTCTGTATTGTTGGTGTGTCTGAGTGTTTTAGCAGAGCTCCACAGCGATAATGCATGAATGTCTTTTTAAAACTAGATTACATGCTTTCAAGAATCAGTCTTTGTATATAAAATACATTGGTATTGTTCTAAATTACATTTTAGTTGCATATATTACTAGTTGGTCACAAAAAACTCCAAAAACAGTAGCCCTGCCCACAAACCCGTTCATTTAAACCCCTTAAGGACTGAGCCAAATGTACACGTTTTGATCAAAATAAAACGTAAACAAAACTTGGAATTTGACTGTCTGTTCAACCGTAATTCACCTCTTTCGTATTACGTACACGCACACGTTTATATATAATTTTATTAAGGAGAAATAAGGCTTTCATTTAACATCAAATATTTATGATACCTAACTTAATATGAGAGAAATTAAGAAATTTTTTTTTTTTTTTTTTTTTTAGTTCAGCATGACATTTTAACTGTGAATGTCCTAATACTGTTTGCTTTTACTGTAATAAAATACACATTTGTATTCAGCGATGTCTCACATGTAAAACAGTACCCCCTACATACAGGTTTTATGGTGTTTTGTGGAGTTACAGGGTCAAATATAGCATGTTACATTTTTCAGTTTTTTTCACATTGACATTCTCCAGATTGGTTACATTGCCTTTGAGACAGTATGGTAACCCAGGAATGAGAATTATCCCCATGATGGCATACCATTTGCAATAGTAGAAAACCCAAGGTATTGCAAATGGGGTATGTCCAGTCTTTTTCAGTAATCACTTAGTCCCAAACACTGGCCAAAGTTAGCATTAATATTTGTGTGTGAAAAATGTAAAAATATAATTTTAAAAAACAAATTTGACTTTCTGCTAGGGTTATCAGGCAGGTCCCGCAAATTGTAATTTAATAAAATGACTTTATGTAAAAATATTAAATTTAAAAAAAATAAAATATATTTAACCCCTGCACTCCAACCAAAAATAATAAATACCTGGTGCTCTGGTTGCTAGATAATATAAATTGAGAAAATACTGGCACTCCAAGGTTTTCCAAATCAAAATCATCTTTATTCTGAAAAGTACATCAACGTTTCAGCACCCCTAAGGAGCTTTTATCGGGACACTCATAACATGTAGAATGAAAAAGCTAATATAGAACACACAATCAATAAAATAGGTACTTACAGACAGGTGATCATCATTTCCATCTGCCGCCAGGTCCGCTCAAGTTGCCTGCACGCTCGTGTACACTTCCGTATATGACCGGGTAATCCACACTGTGCGTCCTGATTGGGCAGCCACGTCGCCGGAGCAACCATAGACGCCTACGTCTCATTGGCTGCTCCCGCGTGTACCGGCGCCGATCTGGGACAAACTTCAATAGACTGACCAACCTTAGTGTTAAGCATAGTGTTATCATGGCAACCGAAGCGCACTCTAGCGGCCAAGAGGGAAATGCCAGAATAAGCAATACACAGGAAAATAGAAATAGACCACTGCAGGGAAATAAATAAATCATTTAACAAAATAGAAAGTCTCCGCTCAAATAGAGCTAAAGTGTAAATATAGACAGTGTTTGTAGTTTGGCTTAATTCCAAGCTAAAAGAAGGGGAGAGCAAAATAACCCACTCACTTAACGTGTCTGATGTGTAAGTAAACTCACTTGTAATATGTGATTATACTAGATAGTGACAAAGGTCAAAAAATTACTTATTTATGTGCAAATATGATTTCCCTAAAAGGGGGAAAGAAATATATCTTATAAAATCAATATTGGTAAAAAAAAACAAGATAATAAAAATCCCCGAGGTTATTCATCCTGTTTAAACACCCGTGAGATAATGAGTGTGTGTGTGTGTGTGTGTGTGTATATATGTGTATATATATATATATATATATATATATATATATATATATATATATACACACACACACAATAAAATATAATTATTCTTTTAAAATAAACAGTCTACCTTAAAATTAAAAAGAACAATTTCAGATATATGGACCAAGGAGGAAGTTTTTCTTTTCTTTAAATGGCCTATACCCTCCACAAATAGATGAACAAAAACAAACAAAATATTTACAAAAAAAAAATGATTACAAAAAAACTGAGAATGAATGTTTTTCATTCAGGCCCTTGGGTGACAAGTAGAGATGTCGCGAACTGTTCGCGAACTGTCTGCTGGCGAACAATAGCGTGTTCGCGTTGGACGAACATATCCGATTTCCGGTCCGCCCCCTATACGTCATCATTGAGTAAACTTTGACCCGGAACCTCACAGTCAGCAGACACTTCCTGGGAGGGAGGGTCTGCTGCTGATTGGGTGGAATGTGTCTGCTGGCTGTGAGGTTCCGGGTCAAAGTTTACTCAATGATGACGTATAGGGGGCGGACCGGAAATCTGATATGTTCGCCCAACGCGAACACGCTATTGTTCGCCGGCGGACAGTTCGCGACATCTCTAGTGACAAGTTTCCCAACAGAAAAATCCAGTATCGTAAAGATGAGAGTTGATATCGAAACTCCAAAAAATGTCTGGCCACTGGTTTGTCCGACTTGCCATCACGATAGGCAAGTCAAATGCTAGACCTGTGGCCTCTGATTCTCTCACAGAGAGCCGTCTCTGTTTTACCTATATAATTAAGGCCGCATGGGCACGCCAATTTATAGATAACAAAGTCGGTCTGGCAATGAATGCGCTGTTGGATTTTATAAAGCTTGCCTGTATGGGGGTGAGTAAAGGTTTTCGAAGGGATAATGTGACCGCACGTCACACACCCCAAACACCTAATCCACCCAACATTTGTATTCCTTTTTTTTTTTAACAGGACTGTAGCAATGTTGTGGGTCAGTTTTGACCAATAAATCCTTCAGGTTCTTATTGCGTCGAAAACAAAACATTTTGACGGTAAATCTCGGGAAGAGATGGGTCTAGGTCCAGTGTGTGCCAATTGTTACGAATGGACAAAGTCAATTCTGAACTAGTAGTGTTAAAAAGCATCTGAAAAATGGGTCTGATGTTGGCAGACTTCAGATGTTGAGAAGAAGGTGATGAGGCAGCTGCTCTCGCTTTATTTAAGGCTTTATCCAGAATCAACCGCGGGTACCCCCAAGATTGGAATTTCTCATACATGAAATGCAATTGTTGATCACATTGTTGATTGAGAGAGTTATTCCTTATTACCCTTAAAAATTGTGAATAGGGTAACGACTCTTTAAGGTGTATAGGATGAAAGCTCTCAAAGTGTAGTAAAGTATTGCGATCCGTTAATTTGGTGAAGAGTTTGTACTCTAGTTTCTGGTTGACCATAATTTCTACGTCCAAAAATTAGACGCTATGCTCATTTACATTAGCAGTCATCTTTACTTGTGTTGGTAAATTATTCAAATCGTTGACAAATTGTAAAGCCTCTTCTTTGGAACCTTGCCACAAAATTAAAATGTCATCAATAAATCTGAAATAACAGGTGATTTGATGATCAAATTGTGCCAGAATATATTTTGTCTCGTATTCATACATGAAGACATTGGCGTACATGGGGGCCATCGCTGCCCCCTTAGAGGTACCGGCTATCTGTAAGTACCAATCAGTTTCGAATCGAAAATAGTTGTTCTGTAACGCAATGCCTAAGAGTTCCATTACATATTCAATCGAGGGACCCTGATACTGTGATGATTTCCTCTTAGCTTGTATGCCTGCTTCATGCGGGATGATGGTATATAAACTCCCAACATCCATTGTGATGAGGATACCATTAAAAGGTCCAACTTGATTCAGACGTTGTAGTAAATCTGGAGTGTCCTTGATACATGTGACCAAGGGCGTCCAGGCGGATGTTCCAGATTTTTATGTATCTTAGGAAGTGTATACAATATAGAGGTGCGGGATGTTTTTTTTTGAAGGTATTGAAATAACTCCACATTTATGTGCCCTGCTTGTAGGCCAAAAGTGAGCACATCCTCAATTCTTCTTGCGATTGAATTTGTGGGATCATCATCCAATCGCATATAGGTTTTTGTATCACTCAATTGACGTCTTATTTCTCCCGCATAAGTGTTATAATTCAGGATAACGATTCCTCCTCCCTTGTCAGCCGGTCGAATTACATTTGTAGGGTCTGCTGCCAAATTCTTGACCAAGGCATATTCGTCTTTCGACAGGTTGAAGTGCCTAGTATGATGTTTCTGTAAAATAGTATCAGTATCCCACTTGGTTGTTGAGAGAGAGGATTTGATGGATATCTGGTTAGCAGGGGGGGGGGTCAAAGATACTCGGAGATTTAAATTGATAAGTAGTTCTTACTGTCGGGGGAATCAGTGAAGGAGATGGAGGGTTTTTAAAAAAAGTCCTTCAGTCTGATAGAACGGCCAAATTTAAACAACTCTTCCTGAGATTTTCCGTCAAAAGCCCATGTTTTGTTTTCGACGCAATGTGGGAACCTGAAGAATTTATTGGTCAAAACTGACCCACAACATTGCTACAGTCCTGTTAAAAAAGAGAATACAAATGTTGGGTGTATTAGGTGTTTGAGGTGTGAGACGTGCGGTCACATTATCCCTTTGAAAACCTTTACTCACCTCCATACAGGCAAGCTTTATAAAATCCAACAGCACATTCATTGCCGGACCGACTTTGTTATCTATAAATTGACGTGTCCATGCGGCCTTAATTATATAGGTAAAACAGAGACGGCTCTCTGTGAGAGAATCAGAGGCCACAGGTCTAGCATTCGACTTGCCTATCGTGATGGCAAGTCGGACAAACCAGTGGCCAGACATTTGTGGGAGTTTCGATATCAACTCTCATCTTTACGATGTATTGCTATTGAGCATTTTCCCATTCCGGCCCGAGGGGGAGACAGAGGTAAACTCTTACTGCAAAGAGAGCCCTGCTGGATTTTTCTGTTGGGAAACTTGTCACCCAAGGTCCTGAATGAAAAACATTCATTCTCAGTTTTTTTGTAATCATTTTTTTGTTTGTATTTGTTCATCTATTTGTGGAGGGTATAGGCCATTTAACGAAAAGAAAAACTTCCTCCTTGGTCCATATATCTGAAATTGTTCTTTTTAATTTTAAGGTAGACTGTTTATTTTAAAAGAATAATTATATTTTATTGTGTGTGTGTGTATACACACTATCTCACGGGTGTTTAAACAGGATGAATTCCCACCTCTGGGATTTTTATTATCTTGTTTTTTTTTACCAATATTGATTTTATAAGATATTTCTTTCCCCCTTTTAGGGAAATCATATTTGCACATAAATAATTAATTTTTTGACCTTTTGTCACTATCTAGTATAATCACATATTACAAGTGAAGTTTACTTACACATCAGACACGTTAAGTGAGTGGGTTATTTTGCCCTCCCCTTCTTTTAGCTTGGAATTTAGCCAAACTACAAACACTGTCTATATTTACACTTTAGCTATATTTGAGCTGAGACTTTCTATTTTGTTAAATGATTTATTTCCCTGCAGTGGTCTATTTCTATTTTCCTGAGTATTGCTTATTCTGGCATTTCCCTCTTGGCCGCTAGGGTGTGCTTCGGTTGCCATGATAACACTATGCTTAACACTAAGGTTGGTCAGTCTATTGAAGTTTGTCCCAGATCGGCGCCGGTACATGCGGGAGCAGCCAATGAGACGTAGGCGTCTATGGTTGCTCTGGCGACGTGGCTGCCCAATCAGGACGCACAGTGTGGATTACCCGGAAGTGTACACGAGCGTGCAGGCAACTTGAGCGGACATGGCGGCAGACGGAAATGATCACCTGTCTGTAAGTACCTATTTTATTGATTATGTGTCCTATATAAGCTTTTTCATTCTACATGTTATGAGTGTCCCGATAAAAGCTCCTTAGGGGTGCTGAAACGTTGATGTACTTTTCAGAATAAAGAAGATTTTGATTTGGAAAACCTTGGAGTGCTGGTATTTTCTCTGTGTGTGTGTATATATATGTATACACACACACAGCCTAAGTGTATTTTCATATATATATCTATATATCTATATCTCTATATTTTTTACATTTTTAACATATATATATATATATATATATATATATATATATATATATATATATATATATTTTAATATATGAAAATACACTTAGGGTGTGTGTGTGTGTGTGTGTGTGTGTGTGTATATATATATATACATATATTTATTAATTACACAAGATCCAGCGCACTCACCTATCCACTAAACAGCAAATTCAATGTTGACAGATTTTATTGTTTTGTTTTGTTTTTTTAATTTTTTTTTTTTTTTTTTAAAACACCTAATATAGGCAAAAATAATGCTGCACATTTGTTATTTAGCGCTTACTCTTTTTCTTGTTTTATTCTGTTTATAATGAATGCCTATCAAACCGATTGGGGAGCACATCTGGGGTTCTCAGAACATCCAAGGTTTATGGAACCACACATTGACTCATCAATCCTTAAATGTTCTTGAGCTGCAAGCAGTTTTGCAAGCCCTTCTCCAGTTCTCCTCTCTGAAACATTGTTGAGGGTAGACAACACCTCGGTAGTTGCTTTTATCAGTTTTCAAGGGGGGACAAAAGTAGAGGCCTGATAAAGATAATTTCTACTCTGATGGCATTGGCAGAGAGGAACTTCAAGCCTGTGTATCTCTCGGGGAAGTAAATGTCTTAGTGGATTTCCTGAGCAGTGTGACATTGGATCCAACAGAAAGTTCTCTCTCCTATAAGGCATTCCAGAAATGGGGCCTTCCTCAAGTAGATCTAATGGCAAAATTTCAGAACAACAAAATGGAAAGGTATTCTCGCAATTCTTCAACCCTTTGTAAGACAGGGATTACCTGTCTTGCAAGTGGAGATTCAATCTGGCGTATGTGTTTTTTCACTACCCTCTCATATTGCCTTTTGTTGAAGAGGATTCAGCAAGAACTAGCATTCATTCCTCATTGGCCCAGACACATGTGGTTTCCCCTATTGCAGAAACTATCCCCAGATCCTACATTGGATCATTCCATCATCACTCATTGGATCCAGGTCATCCAGCACCCCATCCTTGAAATTGATGATATGGAGATTGAAAGGCAGTGCCTCTTAAAGAAAGGCTTCTGTGATTGTAATTGAGAATTTTCTCTGAGCACAGAAGAAATCTACCTCTTCAACCTATTATCGCTTTTGGGAAATTTTTTATGACTGGTGTGTTTTTCATAATGTCCCCCCTCAGTCTCCTGAGATTATCAACATTCTTTAGTTCCTTATTATTGGATAAACCGCTTGCCTTCATCTATGATATTGGCAGATTTTTGTGGCTAGATCTTTTTCTAGCTATTGGTTTAGCAGGCATGTTCTTTCCGCGGCCTGGTAATTTAGTTTCTAATAAATGTTGCATCATGCGTTTTATTTCTTGGCTTACTTTGTTTTTCCTCTCTTATGTCTTTAGCTCAGGTATTACCACAGATATATAGTGGAAAACAGAAAATTAATTCCATACTTACTAATACTCTCCCCCCCCGCCGCACCCAGATATAGGCGATGGCAGAACTACATTTCCACCCTTACTTTTGCCCTTAGGGGATGGAGTCTCTTAATATTTAATTGGGTTTCTTGTCCTATTTAAGTGTAGTGGGAGCTATACCCAAATGTAGTGCAGCCATGGGCTAAATTCGGGACAAGTATGGAATAAATTTTTATGTTTTGTCAGTGTCTGTCAGTTCCTGTTATGTGCATGAAAGTTGAGTGTTGGATTAACTTGTCACCTCCAGCAGAAAGTGTATTACAGACAGAATGGACATTACGAGAAGTGCTTGATAATTGAAGAGAAGGAAGGAGTGGTATGTGAATGATGGCTGAGAAATGTATTGTGAAAGATGGTGAGGAACAGTAAAAATGCTTGAGGAAAGTGAGCATTAAGTTGTGCCCAGGATTTGGAGCATCATCCACGGGATCTATAAAGAAATTTGTTCAGAGTATAAACAGGAAGTGCTTAGTATGGCTAAAGCATACCATTAATGCTTTCTGGTGGCAGTGTAATAAATCATGAGACTTATCGTGAGTGTTTCCAGAACCCAGCAATAACATAACTTTTACTGAAACATGGGTTATCCCCATTTCCAGTTTAGTGGGAGTTTCTGCTGATGGGGGGCATTGCTATTTTATTTTTGTTTTTGTTACCACGATATGTCTTGGACTAGAGTAACTATAAAAACACAGTTGTTAACGTTTTTGTATCATGTCTCCGCTTGTGATGTGCCATCACAGATCTTGTAATTGGAATTGACCGCTTAAATGCAGCTTTAGAAATTACATATACCCTAAAAGGACGATTTAGGTGCTGCAGCTACCTCCTGTTTTACCCAGCTTTAGAAATGCCAGAATTTTTTTGCCAACATGGCATTTTTTTTTATCTGTGGCAGGTATATTATTTAATAAGAGGTAATGGAGTACGCAACGCGACATAACCATTACAGCCCGATGTCTAGAATCCCTTGGCACTGTCACTAGGTTTAAGAACTGTTTGATAAACACAGATCATACCTGGGCCCAAGAAACCTTTCCATCTCACTACTGTGGCATTCGAGAATTAATGTTTCCACATTATAATTGTCAATTTAATTGAACATGGATGGCATGGGCTGAGAGTGATGGTCTAACAATGTTAGAGTGCCCTTAAGTATACTGGAATATTTTATTTTTTTATTTCTATTTTTGTTGGGGAAATTTCCTCTGATTTTAATGACAATATACAGATATCTGATGGATAAGAGTTAAACAATTTAAACAGAACGTGCATTTATATCATACATCATTCTTGGTTAAGCGTCCTAGCAGCTCAGGTGAAGGTGACGTGTAAGAAGAGTGTATAGGTAGCTCCCGAGTCGGTATTTTAATTCTAGCTGCTGCTGTGGACCTGAAGTGTAGCCCTCTGGCAGCCCTTGTGGGTTGAAATTAAAGCGTGGAAATGTTAGTAAAACCTGTTGTCCGCTCGTGTGGGCATATATCTATAATGTGGGATACCCCGCTATCCGCATAAGAATTAAACAATTTGAACATAACGTGCATTTATAGCATACATACATCATTCTGGGTTGGGCGTCCTAGCAGGTCAGGTGGGCTATGTGAGAAGAGTGTATAGGTAGTTCCCGAGTCTGTATCTCACTCTGGCTGCTATTGTGGACTTAAAGCGTGCCCTGTGGTAAAGCCCTCTAACAGCCCGTGTGAGTCGGATATTAAGACATTAGTAGCACGTTTCGGCTGCTCATCCGGGCATATATCTTTAATCTGGGATAACCCGCTATCCGCTCATAGGGGCTTAAGCTTAACCGCCCGGCTCAGCGTGTTGACAGGGCTATCGGCTTATGGGGTAGTCCCCATTGGTAGGGCATTTGGGCGGCCTGTGTACCGTTCAGGTATATGCCTTGGTGGGGCCCGTTAGTGACTCTTATGGAGTCATAATGCTTACTGTGGTAGGGCTCCATTACAACTCACGTGGGGTAAGGCAAGCACCTCGACTGCATAGGTTGGCATCTCTAGTGGGATGAACATGAGCCTATTGGCAAAATGTGAGTTTTTCTCGTGTGGTTAATTTAGACATGGTGACAATGTCTGTCAGTGGCTGCTGTGGGATTAAGATAAACTCTGGAGTCAATATCGGCCCATTGGTAGGGCATGTTAGAGGCTCTTGTAGTTTTAAAGCTTCACAGAGCAAAAAGAAAAATAAAGGTATTGGATTAACTGAAGAGTTTGTGTTGTCCCGGTTAGTCCTCTATAGGTCCTGCTGTTAGTCTTTCGTAGAACCTACTGTAGCCTTGCAAAACGCTGGAACCTCGATGATAACGTAGGTTGTGTGGACAAGAGAGTCTCTTTATGGGGGGTCTTCTCGCCCCAGTGGGTGCGTGTCTCCTGTGGGTCTGTTTCCTCTTTTCTGCTTTGCATTAGGGGTCACTGCTTTCTGGTTATGTGAGCTGCTCCGAGGGGGTCGATGTTGGTATATTGAGTCTTTTTAGGAACTCTGTGTGGTCTTCAGCGGCCGACAGGGTGTGTATCGCATCTCCCTGAGGTACCACTAGTGTTCCAGACAACCCCCATCGGTATTTAATGCCGTTATCTCGCTGAGTCCTGGTGAGGGGCATGTACTTGCGCCGTTTGAGGAGGACTGTAAAGGGTAAGTTCTCATATATCGAAATCCTATTGTTTGCGGTCACCAGGTTTGGCTTTTGTCTAGATCGCGCCATGACAGCGGTTTTCACTGATATGTCTCTTGAGACAACTATGATATCGCGGGGTGCATCCACAGGCGCTGTGGGTGCTTTCCGTACCCTGAAGGCTGACACTAGTGGTGGCCGTTCGTCTTCTGTCTGAACTCCCAGTGCTTGCAGGAACTCATTGGCAAACTCGAGCAGGGCTTCTTTGCCTATTGTCTCTGGGGCCCTGCGGATTCTGAAATTTTTCCGTCGGTGGCGCGTTTCTAGGGAGGTCACCGTGCGTGTAAGGTGTTGCAGTTAGTTCGTGACACGGGAGTCGGTGTCATCGATCTTTTTCCCCCTCTCCCCTTCTCGGGTCTCTATTGCTCCCATGGGCCGGTTCAGGCCTCCTATTTCCTCCTTGACCCCAGCGAGGTCCGCCTTCCACACCTCTCTCAGGTCCCACAGGAGGTTTTTATGTCTCCCTTGGTGGATGGGGACTTATCGGAGTCTGATTCTGCTCTCTGGTACACTCCGCTGTGGGTCCGGGGTGCTTGAGTTGTCTCATCCTCCAATGAGAGCTCGGAGTCACTTGAGCCGCGTGGCTCCGCAGGCGCCATGTCTGGTCGGACCTGCTGCGGCGGCCTACAGAAGGACAGTCGGATGTCTTTGTGTTTCTGATCCTCTGCTTAGGCCATTTTTCGGTGCTTTCTGCCCATCTCTCTTGGAGGGGTGTTCCTGGTGTCTAGACGGTAAATTTTTGAGCTCTGTTGCGGTATTTAAAGTCAGATTTTGTGTCTCTGGAGCGGGAGCTCTTCAAGTGTGCGACCGTTCAGTAGCTCAGCTAGCCACGCCCCCCCCCCAAGTATACTGGAATGTTAAATGTAGTATTTTGGAAAGTGAAAGATCCTCTTGTGACAATTCGGATATAAGCTGATTGAACTAGGTATATTTTACCTTGTGTAAACCAAGAAAGGGCTCAAGGTTAAATTAATTGTGGTATGTGTTAAGAGCACTAAAAGATGTGACCTATTTATTCAAATCCCAAAACATAGATTTACTAGACCACTTACTGACATTTTACTTATTTTTATTTTTTATTTTTCTGGCTTCCTGTGGAGTTTGTTCTCTGAGGTAAATGACAACTGAAATAGCTGTTTGAAAGGTCTTGAAATACCTTTTTTGAAGTGTTGAAATGTATTGTTGGCTACACTGTGTTAATTAAAAATCCAGGATTTTATGCTATATGGACTACCCCTTAACATTCGAGTTCAGCATATAATGTTTTGCTTTTCTCACGCTGTTGAATATTCTGTTATCTTTTATATGAAATGTTAACTCACAAGCTGAATTTAATCACTAGACATGTTTTTAAAAGGGCAATCCTGCAGGTGGTTTTTCCTCCTCTTATAAATGCATTGTAAGAAGGCTGCATAAAAAATACTCCCATTTCTATTTACTTCCTTTATATTATATAAAATCTGCAGTCTTTGATTTGTTCTCCATAAATATCTTTGGAATTAGATTTTTCATATGGACATTGGCAGTATTCACAATGGAGTTTTTGCTCTCTCTTACTTCAGAATGGTAGGCAACTCCTTCAATCTCCAATGATATAAAAACGTGGATTTCTGTTTTAAATCATTTATTTAAATGCCTAGTTAGTAAAACTCTATTTAAATTATGATCATAAAAAACTAATTCTTGCCGGTTGTAATAATTTTAATATTTTTAACCTGTTGAGTTAAGTCCACGTTAATTTAACACATATCACATTTTTTTTTTTTTATATCATTAAAGATACATTGATAATTATGAAATTATTAAAAGGTTAAAGTATCACTATATGGTCAGGAACATGTATTCCTGTCCCTATAGTGCTAAACCCACCGTATAGGTGGCTTGCCCTCCTATATAAGTTTAAAATGCACCTTATTTCCAGCGCTGCACTGGCTCCGTCCCCTTTGTGACCTCATCGGAATGGCCGATTTTAAGCCTAAAATCGTTACGAGGTTGGGGCCAAATGCAGTTTTCCTCATTGAGATGTATTGACGCTGAGCGTGGAGACGCTGAACGGCAGAGCTGCCTACTGTGCAGCCCTGAGCCAGGAAGCCCCTCCAGTGGCCATCTGAGGAGTGGCCACTTGAAGGTGTCCCTAGGGGCAATGTAAACACTGCCTTTTCTCTGAAAATGCCTGAAGGGAGCTATTATACTCACCAGAACAACAAAATTAAGCTGTAGTTGTTCTGGTGACTATAGTGTCCCTTTAACAATTAAGCATGCTTTATGCTAGTCCAGTAACAGGCAGCCAGCCATGTGGTGAAGCTTCAGAACGTTGCCGTAAAATACTGCGGGGAGGAATACTTGTTCCTATGCCAAAACCCACCTGGGCCCCATTTGCAGCTCACTAGAGCCAGGTGCAGTAAGTGAACATGGGCATCTCAAGGGCGAGAAATCGAGCTCTGGTAGAACATCATTGGTTTCAAGGCATTTTGCTATTTAATCACAAGGCGTTGAGCATTCTCTGTGCAGTTTTATTGGTTTCAAATGTCTGATTTTATTTTTGTGCTGTGACCCTAGTTTAGTATTGTGCTTGCTTTTTTTTTTTCCCAGTTAAAAACAAAACCTGTTATTTTTTTCGATTTCTAATGAACCCCTGCCAGAAAGATATAAAGAGGATTGTAGTCCGTGGTACTGGGGACAGTAGGGTTACTAAATAGTTAGAAATGTCCGCATCCATGTCCTAATTTCAGTACAATTTTCAGCAGATTTTGAACTGCTGCGTTACAAGCAGTTCAACCTGTCCCTTCCCAGGAGCAGACATACTGGTTAAAAAGAGAGAAAGAATTGAATTTCCTTAGTCAAGTTCTGTTGATCCTCAAAGGATATTAGAGCATGAGTCTTACGCTGATGAACTGTAATCGTTCACTGAGGAAGGGGAACAAAAGCGGATTAAAAAGTTCTGCTATTTAATAAAAGGCTCAGGATCTCAAGTGTCTTCTAATGCCTTTCTGATACCTCCTTTATTTTAGAAACCCAGACCTTCCAAGTGTCCCTATTTTGGCCCCTCTTTCTGTATTCTAATGTCCCTATTTTCTATGAGCTCCATATTGTTGCTGTGTCTGAGTGTATAATAGAGCTCCACAATAATATTGTGTGTAAATGCAATAATTGAGTTCTGCATTAAATTTAGATTACATACATTATCAGTAAGTCACCTAAAATTTCTCAGAACAGCCCTGCCCCTGCCACACCAAATTTTTGTGGCACCGTTGCTTTTTTATTTATTTATTTTTGGTCCTGGTTAGTGAGTCCTGTTACCACTTGGTCAGTTCTTGTATGAGCAAAATCACCTTGCCAATCTATCGAAAAGAACCATAAAACAAAAGAGCACAAATAAGAAACGAATCCATTTAGAGAGTAACAGTTCCACAATGACAAAGAGCATTATATCATATAGTATGATAATATAAACAGTATTTATTTTTAAATGAATTATGTAGCAGAGCCAATACTAACTCATACATAATATACTTTGCTCTGGCTGAAACCATATTCTGACCTAGAAAGTGACTTTGCTCCTGCCTTCTACACAATAATGGGACTCTTAAAGGAGAACATACAAAACCTTTCATATTACAGGTTAGTGTTACTTGACTGATGTTGAGCACAAACCTATACAACATTGGTGTTCACTTTGAGCAACACCCCCCTTCTTTATATTCTTAGGCAATGATAACATATTACAAAATAAATGAAAAACCTCTAGACATTAACATAACATTGTTAAAAACAAAACCTATGAGTACGGAGACTCTCTTAGCTCAATGCTGAAAGAAAAAGACTAAAGAATTGGTCTGGGTACCGTTGCCCTGTCCTTTTTAACCCTACAATATAAAGCATTGCAGTTTTTAGAAACTGTACTGGAGGTACTTTCGCTGCATGCGATGCTGAAGCTTATAGGAAAGTATTAAATTTTGTGCTTTCCTACTGAGAAGCTGGAATTTTCCTGCAACGCTCAAGTCCCCAATGCTCATCTCTGAAGAACATTGAATTGGCCATTGTTGGAGGAGGCTCAACAATATGTCGCAGAAGCAGAGAAGTTTAGCATCGCATCACAAAAATGCACACCTCTCCAATAGAGTACGGAGATCCAATATGCGATAGTGGATAACACAAATCACAGCACCGTGAAAGAGTTGATAAGGGAATTAAGTGACATACCGGCTCCGCCATAAGTATATAAGATACCACCATTAATTAAGAGAAAATGCACGATCGCGGATGGGACGTCTTCCTCAAAACAGGGTAGCTGACAGGCGGACACTAATACTAGCATCAGTGGGTCAGGGGGAGGATTAGACCCCGAGTAATAAACCTAAGATAATTTAGTAGTTGTAAACTTTAATACAATATTGAGACCACGATAACGCTAGGTGAACTCCACCGTCTCCATTTGATGAGGCCTCAGGTACCAGATTATACTCACTATACATAGAAGTGGTTGGGAATTTCTGGCTCACAGAATGGAACCAAATGCGAAATTAGATTTATTATGTCCCCTCTCTTTAACCCAGTGAGAAACCACAGAGTTTCTGAAAAGTGGAATACTACCATAGCTGAAATTAATCTGTATGAAACATAACGCAGGGGAGATATATCCCCACATTTGTTTATTGAAGCTAACAAGGACCTGCAAGTCCGACGACTACCTGGGCCTGCGAGCCAACGTGTCTACATAATTTATGACACCCTTCCAAAGTTCACTCTGTCTATGTTACCGATTCATAAACGCAATGTGTTCGAGACCTGCAAGTCTCACTGCTAGGTACATACAAAACTTGCAAATAATAAAATATATCTTTACAAAAATAAGTTTAGCATTGCCACGGCAACTGAAAAAGGTGAGTAAACCTTTTATTTTATTAGATTTCACCTCTATGCTGACTGGCATTTACAAAGGATAGAACGTTTTATAACAAGGATTGACCGGTAGCTATGATAGAGGTGTGGGTTCTACTTTTAATTACATGTTATACATCACAAATCCATATTTATTAAATCTAGGGGATAGGTAAGCATAATATTAAAAATCGTGGAAAGTGACTGATCCTCTTTTCCGTTTTGTGATGAGGGTTTGAATATTGGTATTGTAGTTACCGTAACACAAATCTTAAATTGTTTTATAGTACATGGGCACCACTTCCTACTGTGTTTGCCACAGCAGTAAAAATGTCTCCGGCTAGCACTATGTTTGAAACAATGAGTGGTACGCGATGAGAGGCTGTCATCTCGATGTGCTTTCATCTCCAACATAGGATACTTTGTGCTGCCTTGCAGCACTATTTCAGCAGTAATGAAGCACTTAGTGGTTTGAAAAGGTAAAGAATGGACAGTCTAATCGCGCTAGTCCCCTTCTAAGGCACAAAATTAGGCATTTAGAAGGGGCTGCAAATATTTGTGTGCATTCAGTGGATGAATGTGCATTTAAAATCGTGCTGGTACACCATAACACCATATAACGGGACCTTTGAAGAAAAAAGGGAGTCCTTCTTCCCTGCAATTTGTATATGAATTAATGTGATCCACAGCAATTTGAGATCCTTTTAGCTTAGAGTAAATTAAGTGAATAAAGTTAGAGTTGAGTGACAATGTGTGTGTGCTACTCTTGAATCAGATCACAATGTCAGTGTAGTGTGCTATAACAGACAAAACACAATATGTGGGACAGCCCACTGTGGTGGTTATGGTCCAATAGTATCAGGATGCTGTTCCCTGGTAAGGGAGCAATCCGTTTTGCAGTGGTTTTCCCTGGTAAGGGAGCAATCCGTTTTGCACCTTTGCCGGCTAAACCAGCATCTGGCTTCTTTAGAAGGCACATCCCAATCCTGCTGTTCATTCATTGGATGAGAAGTGGCTAATGAAGACTGTTCAAGGTGGTCCCAACTCGGGCAGTAATATAAAATATTGAATACACTGCACATACAGCACTCTTGTACCATGAAAACTTCCATAACCATTTAAGATTTGTTTTATTTAATTTGCCTCTACATGCTTGAACTTGACTCATTTCTACATATCGGCTATATCATTAAATATATAGCTAATTCAGAATATATATACATATATAAATATGGGTAAAAATAAATTTTTAATAATCCACAATAATGTCACTATTAATAGTATGTGTGTGTCTGTGCCCGTTCCTTGAACCATCTTTTTTTTAAAAAAAATAGAATTTAAAACCAACCTCAGCTGACCTGCTTAAACTGCTCACATTATCCTTTCCTCTGAGAATATGTTTATTTTTAAATGCTGTCAATGAATTAGGCTGCATTTCATGGCAGAATGAAATTGTCTGAAGTCTTCCTTTGCCTCAACCCACACAGCAAAGAGAAATGTAATTGAATTTTGGTTTCTTTGTGCGTCTAGAATTGACTTCCAGCTGGGCAGCACTAATTATTTAATTTTTTTTGAATGGGAACAGATAAGCGCAACCTGCTTCTATGTTCGTTTTCAGTAAAGATCTGTTGCTTCTAATGACCATAATCCTTTTATTGCTGATTGACTTACAAGTGATGTGTTGCTTATTTTTTCTAAAACCTTGGATATTAATAGTTAATATTTTAGTTCAGACTACCATGTTCTGTAGACCTACTACAGTGTTTCTCTCCTCTTTATCCAACACATTTTAGCAATTCCTAAATTTTAATTTTACTTTTTACGAGTACAATTATTTCTAATTTTTAATATAAGGACCTTTTTCTATCAGATAGTAATTTGGTACTAAATTCCACCCTGGCGTCCTTAGACCTCACCCACCTCCTTTTCTCTTAAATGGCAGTCTTTACAGTGCTAATACTGCAGGGACAGGCTATAGACAACAGAGCCACTACATTAAGCTGAGGGGGTTCTGGTGGCAATAGTGTCCCTTTTAAATAGATTCTCTCATTATAATCGTATGTCAGATGCATCTATTGCAAAATAATAAGCATCGGGTGAGAGAATCTCATCTAAAATGAATAAACATGATTTGTTATCATGATTACATGTAGATAGTAATGAAATTTTTTTTATTTTTTTTTTATCGGAATTTGATTGAGGCACAAAGTTAAAAGTCAGAGAGACATAGTTGCAACAAACATATACATTCAACACTCAGAGTAGGCTAGCTTCAAAAACCATGCAGGATCCAATCGGTATACAGATAGGTATATAATGGTCACATATAGATTAGGGGGGCCTTTTTTTTTATATTACAGGAGAGAATAATAAACAGTGCAATGTAAATTGACTAAGAAGGTATGATAACATAACGTTGTTAGAATGCAGTGGGTATACAGGAGAAAAGGAAAGCAGCCTAAGTTAAACAACATCAAAACATAGTGATTATTCCACTGGGAATTAAATGTGGAGGAGAATCCCTTGCATAGGGTAAGGCACCAACCGCCATAGTGGGACTAAGTAAGCCGTTTGACCGTCGTCAGCCAATGCCACATAGAGGTCACAGAGGAATGTTCATTCCAGCTCCATCAAAGCGAGTGACTCTCACCTACTCAGAGTTCCCCAGGCGCAGTTTTGTGAGATTTGGCTTAGTGGTTTGTGACCCACAACGCCTCCCGTCAGAGAGTCTCAGAGCCCGGGCTGCAATGGGATCCTCCTACTTCAGGCGGCAGAATCGGTGGCTTGAGGGGTCTCCGGTCATTAACAACCCCTTGAGTGTGTGAATGGTGAGTCGGATGGGACTACGAAGGGGCTCCCAGCCCAGAGGGAAAGCAAGGAGGGGAGGCCGCAGTCTGGATCAGCTTGCCAACAGCTTCTGCAGGGGTGTGGGCTCAGCATATCAAATGGTACTGAAGCGCTTGGCAAATGGTATCTAATCTTGTGAGGAAGGCATCCAGCCACTTCTGGGCTTCAGACTAATTTGAGCTTTGACGAGGCGGCCATATTAAGCACGCCACTCAGTCATCAGATCAGCAGAGATTCAGTTAGGCTAAAGCACAGGCTTCTCCAGCAGGGACTGATATTAACCCCACACGTCCAGATGTGGGGAACGAGGACTCGACTGCATGAGCACTTTGCGCTCTCCACGATAAGAGATTTTCTGCATTTCTCAAGCTCTGGGCACGTAAGGCAGCAGCTCTGGATGTGGAATCACCTCGTCGAACCTAGATATTCCCGGCCCATAGGGATGAAGGTAGAAACAGTAGTTTTAGATTGGCTTCTGCTGTTTTTTCAGGCTGATCAATCCCACTTTTAAGTGAAGATAGTCCTAGAGAAACACATCTGGCAATCTTAGTGTCAGACCCGCCCCCTGAATATATCCTTTTTAGCATCTTCTCATCATCCATTCTAATATTAAATAAATAAGAATTGCAGTGGCAGCAGCACACAACATAACCCCTCTTCATATGCATACAGCCCATATCACCCTTCCATATCATTAAAGACAAACTTCACTTTAAATGTAGGATGGATTGGTTAGAAACAGTGCTAATTTTGGCAGCAAATTCCAGTTTAGTTTGTTATAGTCTTCTGACTAAAAGCCATTTTAGTTTGTCGTATTTTAGTCATCTGAATTGTTTTCGTTTTAGTCAACTAAATCTCCAGTAGATTTTAGTCGACACGACTAAAATTGGGCTTAGTTGAAGTCTCTATGGTCTCTTTTGCACCTTCTCCAGACCCTCTTTGTGTCCTCCCAGCCCCTGTGGGTGTTTCACTCCAAAAGCCCTGGTCTGTTTCTTTTACCCCTTCCACAGCCTCTCTGTGCAGTGTTGATTGTGGTGGCACATTTCTATTTAGTTTTCGTTCTAGTCCTTTGACTAAAAAGCCATTTTAGTCATAAGAATTGTTTTGGTTTCAGTCTAGCTTTAGTCGACTAAAATTGTTCGTTGAGAAAATTAACACTTGTTAGAAACACCATAATGTAAAGAACAGTTCTTTTAAAATAAAAAAATATAATGCTTGATAAGTATGTGTGTGTGTGTGTGTGTGTGTGTGTATGTGTGTATATATATATATATATATATATGTATGTATGTAAATATTTGTGCTCCAAAAAAATAAATATTCTGTAGAATTAACCTCCTAGTATATGCTCACATTTCTTCACGGACCACCCCTGAGCAATACTGCAAACATGTCATATCACGAATTATCTTTAACACAGTGTTTCTTGTGGAGAATATTCTGAATTGGATTGCATTGTAATCTTCTGCTGCTCAGCATGTTCTGCATAAAAAACCACCCACAATACTCACACTTCTTTAGAAATGATTAAATTCCATGTGAATTAAATGATGTCTGTAGTGTTGTAATACAATTTCCTTGGGCACTCGACTATCACCGTTCGATGTTGCTTCTTGTTTTTTTTCTTCTTCTAGTAAGCCACGACTCTTACGTTCCAAGATGTTACTTTCTTTTTAGATTGCCAGCTGGAGAAACTTCCTATGAGGCCTCGGGACAGAGCGAGAGTCATTGATGCAGCAAAACATGCTCACAAGTTTTGTAACACAGAGGAAGAAGAAGCTGTTTATCTACGCAGGTAACGCACATGGGTATACCACATTCACCCCAAACCTGTACTGCGGGTACTGACTTTCAGCTGTGATATAACCAATTTCATTGTATTTACTGTATACAGTATTGTTTACTACTGCTTGTGCTGCCATAATGGGGAATGTTCCTTGTAATATATTTCAGGTCGATGTAGGTTTTAGTTTTTGGCTGTAGCAAACCACTTTTTAACTCTTTGATGCAAGTACTTATTCTTTTGACATTGAACAAGCATTTATTTTCCAGCAAGTCAAAAAGTTGTTATTGGGCGGGTGGGACCTGGCTGTTCGACTAAACAGACATGTTTGAGACGTGCTCCTCACCAAATCTTGATTATTCAAATTAAAGTGTGGTTGAGCCACAGTCTTGCATCCTAGCGACTACTTACCTGATCTAGCAGGAAGAGGGGATCCCTCGATACTGCTCGGAGCTTTCTCTTGGTTACCTACGCCATGGAGTTGATATCGCTGTGCCTTCCTGTTGTTGTTCCATCCCCCTTCTGGACCCAAGGAGATCATCCTGGTCTAGACTACAATGTCTAGCATATCCTGGGTACTAAGCAAGCTGCATGCTTTAACCACATTGCCCAACCTAAAATGGCCACTGACATTCCTGTGACAGCGCCCCTCGACAGAGGCAAAGCAGCAGTGGTGGGAGGAAGATTTTACTGCCATCTGCTATCACTTTTGGTGCAGACTAGAAGAGAAGACGCTTCATCCCTCCTTACCTGCACTACAGCTGGATCGTGGTTCTGCTGAGGCCCATCACTTTGAGAGATTTTGAAACCGACGCAGGGCTGGGAGTTGCAGAAATGCATAGCATGTTTATTGGAGACAAAACTGCCCTCCCGTATTCCTCTGCCTAGGCATCATATAACTAAAACTTCCTGGCAGATGCTTTGAACTATACCAAGTTGCCAATTCTCCATCTTCGGTTGATAAATCTTTTTGTTAGCTGTATATCTTTTGCATTTACTTAAGCAGTACAAGCTACATACATCGTGCATTGCTGGTGGATACATGTCAGAGCCATACATTGTTTATTTGGTTGACTTTCTCTGTTATGAAGAGGAATGCAGGCTTAGTTTAGAACGCATAAGCATTACCTTGTGCACAAAGTTGGACATGAGCTGTAGAGTTTTGTTGACACACCATTATGTTTTATATTGCTGTCTCTTTACTTATCATTGCACAACAAAAGTATGAATGTTGTGTTTTGTTTTTTTCCTCCAAGATCACTTTAGGCATTTTACACACTCACTCTAATTTTATTGTCTTTGATGTTGATTCATGCTTGGTGGATGTACAATTGAGTTCTTAATTAGTTGAACTGCTCTGGTATTGATTAACTTGGCCTGGCTGAGCTACTTTTTCTGAGCTACTCTTGTACCTAGATTTCTCTATAGGATAGGGATGTGCTTGAATGAAAAGTGTTAATTCTCATTTGTTGCACTAGTGGGTATAATTAAGATGCTTGACTCAATCTGTGGATGACACCCCCAAAACACTAATCACCAGCCCTTTTCATCTTTATAAAAACCGTGCTTAGATACTGTATTGGCATGTTTTTTTCTTCCATATCACATCTTGTTTGCAACACATTTACATAAATGTTCTGTATTCTCCCAAATGGAAACACATATCCATATTCCCAGCCATGAGCACTCCTCTGCAACATTAACCCCAAACTTGCTTCCTGCATCATTAACCCCATATGGCACTTTATGCTGCGTTAGTCCGACACATACTAATGTACTCAGACATACATTCCCACGTAAGCACAGGTACACATGCTCATATACACTTTCCTATAAAGATGCACAGTCACACACTCAAAGTTACACATCAGTAGATACTTCCTAATAATTGCACACACAGGCATCCATCATTACTGGGATATAGTGACAGAAAAAAAGAGGAGGACATGGGCAAGTTGCCTCTCCATCATTTTAGCATGTCTTTAGCCGTATCCTTCTCCTCCTACCCATAATGCAGCTTGGTCCTGAGAGAGGACTCTTCCTTCTGACAGAATTTAACTCAGGATCTGGTGCACAATGTGTGGAAAGAGAGCAAGAATGACATATTACACCCCCACACTTTTCACTCCTAGTGGAACGTAGTTCTGTGTGTTAAGAGGAAAGGTGGTTGGAAACGCATGTACCACCTCATGGCAACTCCCTACTAGGCCACAAGAAGGTAGATCATGGGCACACACCGATGAGCTAAATGTCTGTGTTCAGGCTTGCTCATTGAAATACTAATGTATTTTTATTTTCATTTTCTTTTCCAGGCCAGATGGCATTGAGAGACAATACAGGAAAAAATGCAGCAAGTAAGCAACTCCTGCTTTTTATATAACTATGTTCCATAGTGCTCCTTTAAATTTGAGATGGATATATGCTGTCCTGCCATAACATCTCTCGCACACTTAGAACCTACAGTGTTTTCTCTTGTTTTTTTTCCCTTATCCCCTTGCAATAGTTCAGCTGTACATGATATGGTCAATATAGATGTAAGACTATGTGGTTGTGCAAACTCTCTTAAGTCTATGTGAAAAGAGTGAACTGTGCAGCAATATTGGTAACCTTTATTTCTAAAAAATATAAATTCATCTATTTTTACAGTGAAATGGTAGCCATGTCTTCTAAATAGAACTTAATTAATAAAACCCATGAATTCAGTTATTTGCATTCCTGCTTTTCATGAATGAAGCAAACTGAGACTGTGGAGTTTGTGAAGCTGTAATTGACAAATGAAACTTATTCCATATGCATCAAAGCTTCCAGATAGCTACAGGTGCACCAGAATAGATTCATGTTCCTGGACCGGTGAGAGTTGTGTAGGCAGAGCTACTGATTTACTGTAGATGTATTACTTTAATGGAATTCTCCTGAATCTATATTTGTAATGGTAAAGAGGCAAGTGTGCTTCATACCATAAGTAGATTATCACAGGCATAAATAACTGCTTTCTATGTCTTTCCCAACCTGATGTATCTTATTTGAATATTTACGCATTAACTTGAGTAAGGATGTGACTGATTATGTTCACGGTGGGAGTGAATTCACTTCAGGATGAAAGAGGGGACTGGATTATGGTGTTGGTAGTGTAAAGAACCATGGATAATGTATCAAAAGGAACAGGTAGCAAAGTTGTGGGGGGAGGGGAATTACGTGCTCTTAAAGGAATAATATAGCATTAGGAATACAAATGTGTATTCCTAATGCTATAACGGCCTGCTAGCTGTCCATATGCCCATAGCCCATATGAGGAGGCTAGTGCTCAAATTACTCAAATGCTTTACTTTAAAATTTTTTACTCTGTTCTTCTTACAGGAGAGGTGCCTATTGTGGCTGTCAAGAAGACAGACACTAGAGGTGTGTGTTTAACCCTGCAGTGAAAACATTGTAATTTCATCACAACACTTTTTATTTTATTTTTTTTACATTTTATAGGGATAGAACTAAATAGCCAATGCACCCAGACAAATAGTCTGGGTACTTTTGATGTTCTTTTAAGTATATAATGGGGGGGAACAAAAAGGGAAACAAACCTCAGTATTGAGTAAGCTAAATAATTATAAATGCATATTTTTGTATTAATATAGTATTAGACAAATATTCAAAACCATTCAGAGGATGCTGGCTAAACTGTTGGTTGAGCATAAAATGAATGGTTTCATGTTTTCTAAAGATCACCATCTTAAGTGCTTATTTTCTGAGCCTGCATTAGTGACAGAGAGTAAGGTGGGAATTGACATTGTACAATGAATACAAACAGAATAGATTAGTTGCCAGGAATAAGAGCAAATATGTTGAGGTGCAACAGATCTGACGCTTTGAAGGAAAGTAGTGCTGTGCAGTGGGTTGCTAGAGATCACAAAGCATTTTGAATATATGTGGTTAATTTCAATAGCAGATTGTCATTCAGTGGTGTATACAAAACACAAGAACACAAAGTTTGAAATGTGAATCTTAGCCAGAAGAGAGACAGTAAAGAGGGTTAAAGATTGATTCAGTAGAATGTGGTATTTGCAATAGACTGTGACAGTGGAGGCTAACTTTGACACCTCAAAATCTTGTCTTGAGGCTGGTGAGCAACAAAAAATGGAGTTGGCATATGGGGTTCTAAGATTAAGCAAATACAGATTTATGGTCTATAAATAAGTTGAGATTTCTGTTTGATGCATATGTACATGAGAGGAAATATGGGCTATAGGCTTAATATAGATTACTTTTATTTAATCAGACATGCATTTAATAAAAGGCACATTTTGCTTATTACTGTGTACTATTAACTAGTACGGTGTAATTTTATTAATATGCCTAATTGTCTAAATTAAACCTGAAAGGGACACTATAGGCACTCAGGCCGATTCAGCTCATTGAAGTGGTCTGGAGCATAGTCTTAGGTCCCTTAACCATGGAAAGGTAATTATTGCAGTTTTTAATTAACTGCAATAATTCCCTTTATGGGTTAACTCTAGCTCTAGTGGCTGTCTTCCAAACAACCACTGTGACCCCCTGTCCCTGGATTGTAAACCCCTTCATTTCATTCCCCTATGAGTTTAGGACATTGCCTTTTATTTAGTTTATTTTAAATTTATTCCTCTACCGAACAAACTACTGAACGACCAGACCACCTGTGTGTGGAGTGTGCCCCTCATTAACCTCGATCACCTCTTTCACACCTCGAAAACCACAAGCATTCTAAGCAGTCGGCTGGGTGGTCAGTGTTCGGTATAGGAACACGTGGCGGCGGCCATATTAAGTGCATGGAGCTATAATCAAACTCTGCTGGGACTTCCATACCTTCATACGTTTGTCTGGATTCGTATAAAGAGAGCGGCGTTTGGAAGGAATAATACTGATGGTGCTGTGTTGTTCATTTCCCCCCGCACCTCCCCAAGATCTTTCTTAAATCTGTCGCACTGGATTGCCTCTTGTCACCAAGCTGGATAACTGCCAGCTGTGAATCCAAAAGCAAGATTTTGTGCTACCATCAACAATTAATCCACAAGTTTGCTAACATTTTGGCTCTGCTCCCGCTATCACTGCACACATTCAGCCATATAGACTCCATGTGTAATTGACTACACTCTATGATATGTGTAAATAATCTGTAATATTATTTACCATAAAGCTTTACTTGCCTTAATCCGTTCACTACCTGCTTGCATGTATAGACTTTTTCTTTACTATCATTTGCATAACAAAATTTTAGTCCATAAAGACTCATTTGCTATTTACACTCCAGGAACAATTGTCTGCTTGTATAAGGAACACAATTCTCTGGAAAGAACTATTTTCATTGCCCCAGCATTTCTATAAAGGATGAATAAATAAATTAAAACTTTGCGTACCTTAAATTATGTGTTTTTGAATAATACATTAAAAATCACCTACAACTTGTGTTAACTTTTTCATGAGATGCTCAGTCTTTTAAGTTTATATTAAAGGGACACTATAGTTACCAGAACAACTACAGCTTAATGTAGTTTTCTGGTAAGTATAGTCTGTCCCTGCAGGCTTTTTAATGTAAACACGGCCTTTTCAGAGAAAAGACAGTATTTACATTACTGTCTAGGAAAAAGTCTATAGCCACTCTTCTGATGGCCACAAGGGATGCTTCCTGGGGCAGTGCTGCATATGATCTGCATGGAGATGCTGAATGCTCCTCATACAGATGCATTGAATTAATGCATCTCTATAAGGAGATGCTGATTGGCTAGGATGGCATTTGGCTCTTCCTCACCTCATTGGCTGAGATAATCAGAGTTAACAATCTCATCCAATCTAATGCTTTTCTATAGGAAAGAATTGTAATTATCTGAGTAATCAAATCTGATGTCCACGAAGGAGGCGGAGCGGCATCGGTACGGCACTGGGAAAAAGGGTGTGTGTTTTTTTTTTTTTTACTTATTTAAGGGGACAGGGACCCTACATGTGTTTTTTTTAACACTATAGGGTCAGGAATACATCTTGTATTCCTGACCCAATAATGTTCTTTTAAAGGTTTAGCAAATGACACAATCGTTGAGTTCAGACAAGGCAGAGGCAGGGCATATATGGATGAGAAATAGAAACATTCTCATTTCTCCACTTCTCTGTATGTATTTTCTATGGTAACTGTAGGTGTTTAGTTGTCTGATAAAGAAGTGTGCATTTCTACATTTAATTGTAATTTTACACTTCCGATACTTCTTAAATATCGGGATAAAACTACTACCCAGAGCGATTGAAATCCCTGTGGCCATGTAGATGAACATCTGTTCTGTTGGATAATGTGTTCTATTTTAGGCTCTGTGCTTAGACTCCGAGCTAGTTCCAATCCGCCCAGCACCATGCTGCATTCCTGACATTTCTCTGATCACTTGCGCTGCAGTTAATAAAGCAGAGATCCTGGGAAGGAAGCTGATTGCATTGAGAGGATTTTCCTCCGTAGGCAGACATTGAGAAGGTTACTGCAGGAAAGCTGCTATTATAAGAGATAAAGATGTGCATAGACGGAGTGAAGCACTGGACAACTCTAGCCCCTCTTATATCTCTTCACTGATCCATAGGTATGCCCCTCCTCGTTCCCTCCACTCTGCCCGTGACCACCACCTGACCGCTGCTTGCACCCTTACGGCCAACTAGCGCTTGCATGACCTCTCGCGGGCGGCTCCTCTCCTATGGAATAGCCTGCCTACCGCCATCAGACTCTCCCCTAGTCTTCAATCATTTAAGAAGGGCCTTAAAACCCATCTCTTCAGGAAAGCTTATGGCCTCCCAGAGTAACCTCATACCTGTCTCTTGCTCTCTCCTATAGGGCAGTGCTTTACTCTCTCCTCCAGCTCTGCTTCATTCCCACCCTATTTGATATTTCCTGTCCTAATGTGTCTTATACCCCACCTCCTATAAACTGTTAGCTCGTTTGAGCAGGGTCCTCTTCAACCTATTGTTCCTGTAAGTGTTCTAGTAATTGTCCTATTTATAGTTACATCCCCCCTCTCATAATATTGTAAAGCGCTATGGAATCTAATGGCAATAATAATAATAACCACACAGAGTGAAAATAGCAGAGTGTGATGGTAGTCAGATATAATGTATGACTTAAATAATGGGGAAATCATTCTGTCTCAAACTGTGAACTAATCTAAACTGTAATGTTGTAACTTGTCTGATCAAAGGAGATATATGGTTTTAACAGAGTTTTCAAGTTCTCCTGATATTGTGGATACTGCCTTGTTGCAGTCAAAGTCTCCATGTCAGTCATAAAGTCTTTGACTTTTAAAAATTTGCAACAACAGTGTATTTGGCTACTCTGTGTGCAAATAAATTTAATTTGCACTCATTTCCTTAGTTCCTGACACTGATAAAATAATACCTGTCCTGATTCCAACCCCATGTCACCTGTCCTGACCCACATTTTCCCAAAATCAGTCCCTTCTTATAGGTATATCTTCTGATGCGTGTGAAAGTAATGCTAGCTGCATGCATGTCTTTAATTACAGTTTTGTGTGGCTCCTAACATTTTGATTCTTGCTTCTAAATTCTATGTAAGTTTGTCAGGCCCTTTTGTGAATGTTAGAATGCTAACTATAGAACAAGACATATTTCTCCTATTGAAGATTTATGTATAGCCTAACATGCAAGCACACTGCTAAAATAATTGAAAAGTGAAACGTAATACTTAAATATGAAGTAGAGTGTGTATTATAAATGCTTTTAAGTTGCTTAGATTTTGAGCCTTACTTTCTGCAGGTGCAGTCTCCTTCTCTTCTACCAACACCACCAAAAGAATGCACCGGCCACATTCATAGTCAATGGTGCTCTTGTTAAGTTTGGACAAGGATTCGGCAAGACAAACATCTACACCCAAAAACCTGATCCACCTAAAAAGGTACTGTTGCATTACTTTGATATACTGAAAAATCACTACATACTATTTTTGAACCAGACATTTGTGTACTCCTCCATTACTTTTCTTTAAATATAATTTTAATACAATCATAGAGGCGTCTAGTGCTTTTGAAGAAGAGAAAGTTGAATTAATTGCTTAAAAAATAGCACAAAGAAAAGAAAAATTAGGCCACAGGAGATTACCGTTAATATTGCATTATGTTTTACATTTTTTGAACCACCATATTTGTACTATAAGACAGACAATGACTCTGTTTTATTACAGGTGATGATGACCAAGCGTACAAAGGATATGGGGAAGTTCAGCTCAGTGACCGTGTCCACAATTGATGAAGAGGAGGAGGAGATTGAAGCGGTAAGCACATTAATATGTAAAACACATCCTTTGTATTCCGACAGAGTGATTTGATAGTCCCATTCACAAACTATATTCCATTACATTGAATAAATACATTAATGGGCCATCCATAATTTCAAGGCTGTTGTTCTTCTTGATTGTTAAATGGCCTTCTGTTGGTCTTTTTAAGCCTTTCCACCGCATTATGATATTGTTATGGTCAATGTTGTTCCATTTGCTTTGCTCATTATTACTCCTGATTTGTGCTGTTCAGAGGGAAGTGGCAGACTCGTATGCTCAGAATGCTAAAGTGATCGAGAAACAACTGGAAAGAAAAGGAATGAGCAAGAGAAGGCTACAAGAGCTGGTATGTAGCTATTTGTTGCTGGTAAAATCCAGCTCCTTGCTTTTGATAGAAATGTATTAAACTTACACCTGGTTCTAAAATCCGCAGCATGTCTGCTAAATTCCAATTATATATATATATTTTTTTTTTTTTTTTGCTGCTTGCGTTTGTCACGTTAAACCATTACTAATGATGCATGTACTAAAGTATGTCTTTTAAAATACAAGCATTGTTGATTTAAATGTATGCAATAATATGCATTCACTATCTTGAAGATCCTCGTTGTGACAACGATAATAAAAATATGTATTCCCGAATGGAAGCTTTGGCATAGTGCCTCCAGACTTCGAGAGCATGAGCAAATCTGTGGGAAGTGTGTATATGCAAATAGATGGTCGAGAGCATTAAAAAAAAGAGAAGTGCTGCTTCTATTTTTTTTTATTTATGTATTTTTTTTTATTTATTTTTTGGGAAGGAGCAGTCTTGTACACCAGTTACATAGTTATATAGTTACATAGCTGAAAAGAGACTTGCGTCCATCAAGTTCAGCCTTCCTCACATATGTTTTTGCTGTTGATCCAAACAAAGGCAAAAAACCTAGTATGAGCGCTTCCAATTTTGCAACAAACTAGGAAAAAATTCCTTCTTGACCCAAAAATAGCAGTCAGATGTCTCCTTGGATTATGCAGCTATTTCCCCACTAATTAGAAATTATATCCCTGTATGTTATGTTTTTGCAAGTATGTATCCAATTGCAGTTTAAACCTCTGTATGGACTCTGATAAAACCACATCTTCAGGCGGAGAATTTCATATCCTTATTGCTCTTACTGTAAATAAAAACCTTTTCTTTGCCTTAGATGAAATCTCCTTTCTTCCAGCCTAAATGTGTAATCTCGTGTCCTATGTATAGCACTGTTTATGAATAGATTTCCAGATAATGGTTTGTACTGGCCCCGAATATATTTGTAATGTTATCATATCCCCTCTGAGTCTCTGCACTTTTTCTAGTGCCATGATATCCTTCTTTAGAACAGGTGCCCAAAATTGTACAGCATATTCAAGGTGTGGTCTTACCAGCGATTTATAAAGAGGCAAAATTATATTTTCATCCTGAGAATTTATGCCCCTATTTATACATGACAAAACCTTACTGGCCTTAGCAACTGCAGATTGACATTGCATATTGCTGCCTAATTTATTGTCTATAACAATGCCCAAATCCTTCTCGTGTGTGGCCATGCTCAGGTGTAGACCCAGAGTGATTCTTTCGTACTACCAGGAGTATGTATCCAACCTGTAAGATCCTTGCAGTGAAGGACTTTTGACTTCATGCTATATAGGCTTCATCGTAATATGATAAATAGATGGAACCACGTAAAAAGAAAAGAGAAAACTTTAATACTGTGTAATTTACATATTTATAGGTCAGAGTGCATTCGATGTAAGTCATCTCCTGAGTTGTCTAGGGACTGTCATATTTCTGTTCTATATAAAGAGAGTTAAAGAGCTAGTGCTATATCAGCGTTTTAACCTATTAAATGCTTTGTTAAACATGCCTAACGGTTCAAGCGCCATAAACCATGCAATGATTATTTTTTGGGTTTTTTTTTATATTGAGTAAATTACGTTATTTTATATATCTAAGATTGTAACAAAAGAAAAACAAGTCTCATGGCTTGACTGGTGTGCAGATTTTTGTTTAACATTGTAATAATGAAGATTGTAACACAAAGATAAAAATGAAACACAAAAACAAACATGACAAAGCAATGTCCATATAGAACTGAATAGCTACTTAGAAATATAAATTGGATCAGAATAACAAAATAAATAAAATGTTAAGTACATTTGGTTAGTAACTCAGAAGTTTATTTGTAGTTTGGGTGTCCTCACGTTGGAGAAGGAGACAAAGGAGAAGACAAGAGAAAAGTTATTTAAAAAAAAAAAAACACAACAAAAAAAGACTTTCTAACACAATGCATAGGTTAAAAGTCACTTAACCCCTTAAGGACCAAGCTTTTGGAATAAAAGGCAATTATGACATGTCACAGATATCATGTGTCCTTAAGGGGGTTAAAGGACAACTGTCACCAGTAAAAAAAAAAATAAAAAAATTATATATGTGTATATATATATATATGTATATGTGTGTAAATATAAAATCAGGAGCACTCCATTGGATTTTCAAAAAGAGTTTTAATCCGGTGTTCATAAATCACATCAACGTTTCGACCCAATAGGGTTAAAACACTTTTTTGAAAATCCAATGGAGTGCTCCTGATTGATCCTATATATCTACTGGCTTGGAGGCACCCGGGTAATTTCACTATTTTTTTTTTATTTAAAGGAGAGTGCCAGAGTTTGTGTATATATATATATATATATATATATGTGTGTGTGTGTGTGTGTGTTTATATATAATTTTTATATATATATATATATATATATATATATATATATATATATATATATATATATATATATATATATATATATATGACAACTATAGTGCCAGGAAAACATACTCATTTTCCTGGCACTAGTGCCCTGAGTGCCCCCACCCTCAGGACCCCTCCCGGCTCTGGAAGGGAAAAGGGTAAAACTTACCTTTTTCCAGCTGGGCGGGGAGCTCTCCTCCTCCGATCCTCCTGGGCTGAATGCGCGCGCGGCAAGGCTGCGCGCTGTTACAGGAAAGCATTATCAATGCTTTCCTATGGACGCTTGCGTGCTCTCACTGTGAAAATCACAGTGAGAAGCACGCAAGCGCCTCTAGTGGCTGTCGATGAGACAGCCACTAGAGGATTAGGGGGAAGGCTTAACCCATTCATAAACATAGCAGTTAACCCTAGCTGGACCTGGCACCCAGACCACTTCATTAAGCTGAAGTGGTCTGGGTGCCTAGAGTGGTCCTTTAAGAATCCTTGCAGCATGTAATGGAAAAAAAATATGGCCTTTTTTTCCCTTTTTGAAGTAAATGTACACTAGATCCCCCTTTGGTTGGAGTGATGTAGAATGGCTCCTGCTTCACTCCCTACACAGACTGGTAATGTTATCTGCCATTGCCCTGTGTGCTCTGCTAAGCAGGGCAGAGTGCCTCATATGAATTTTGACCGCATTGGAATATTCTCATATTTACTAAAGCCAAATGCGGTTAGAATTCAATCTAGCAGCCAATGAGCAAATAGTTGTTAACCCTCAGTAGCACTAGGATTAATTAAGTGACAACTGTCCAGCGTTTTCTAGCCAGCCACCACATTAAAATAGTATTTTACCGCCAAATGTTGCCATCTGGCAAGTGGGGGCATGTCTACTAAACATTAAAACTATGGACTGAGCAGTGTTTGTATATATGTATGTTTATAAATAATTATACTTGCCATCAGCAGTAGTCTTTCTTGTAATCTTCTTTTCTTCTGCCCCAAGGAAGGCCAAATAAAAATCTATAATTCCAGACGCCAATTACAATTTAAAAAAAAAAAAAAAAGGCCTGATCGCCATAAAAAAATCATAGTATTTTTATTTACCAATTTTGTATTTATTTACTATTTTCATGTGGCAGTTGGCTAGACCACACAATTAACCCTCATGCTGCAGAGGGGTTTAACATATTTGCTTTGTGTCTGCTATGTGTGGGGAGTGAAGCAGGAGCCTATCGTCAGATTTTACCAAAGGTGTATGAATATGGAGGGATAGAAGCGTTCTGTGAATTAGGGACCAGATTTTCAGGTATTTTTACATATACTTAATTTTATTTTTTATTTTTTAAAAGTGATTTTTCTTGCAAGGATTCTTAAAATATATATATATATATTTTTTTTTTTTTTTTCTGGTGACAGTTGTCCTTAAGTTATGTCTGTAATGTTCTACCATTGTGGTTTTTCTGTAGAATAAATTTGTATTTAAATGTTCACATTTGTATGTGCTATCTTTCACAGGCGGAGCTGGAAGCCAAGAAAGCCAAAATGAAGGGAACATTGATTGACAACCAATTTAAATAGAAGAGACTTATGGATTCAAGCTGACGGTGTTTAAGGACCATTTGGCATGCATAGCGTTTTGTTTGCAGACAGGATGGTGTGTGTGTACATCTGTAATTTCACAGCCTGCTGTCCGGTAACAAACAGGAATTTCATATTTGCAATATCAATAAACACAGTGTCTCCTTAATCTAAACGATTTACTGGTAAATTGCTGTATGTTTCTACTGTGGTCGCCGTGAAGGTGTACTACAGATCCCAGTGCAATGTTCATTGCCCGATTATATTTTTAGAGTTACTTTGTCTGGTACATTACACACAGGCCTTATATTATACAGAGATCCCATTTTGTTATGTTAATATTGTAAATATGTTTGTATAAAACAAATTAAACATCTTTGTAAATAAAACATTCATTTGTCATCAATTAAATGTTATGTCTAATCCTGGATTTAGTAAATGGAATGTAAATTAGACTGAAATCTAAATTTTATTACTTTAATTATTGAGCAGATTTTATTGCTAGACTAGGTTTATATGTGCAAGTCACTGCACATTGTCTACGTACAATTTGACATTCTTGTTGTATCCTAACATTTTGAACATTTGAACAATGGTGTTCCAAATTTAAATTTTTTTTTTAATTTTTTTTTGCTGTGTGTAAAATTACAAACAAGCTGGTACAGCCACGACAACTCACATAAGCGTTATAGTAACACATCTTAAGTCAAAAACATGGCTTTTAGTAAAATTGCAAATTTTCTGCGATTAATATTGTTCAGGCTAATCTATCACGTCTAGCTCTATTAAAAGCAGGCATTGAGTCGCCAGCTCGCATTTTATATTTAACTAGACACGCAACTTAATATGGGCTTGATGCCTTGTAAAACCAGTTAGACATACAGTTGTGAAGTATGTGTTCTACTTAACATGCTAATAAACATAAACTGCCTAATTTTATGGTAAGATGAACAAGTAAGCTTACATGTCCAGGCACCGAAGTAAACCGGAACATTAGATATACAGTGTTTACTAGGCATGTGGTTATACGCTAAAGCGTGTAAGAGAAACGAGAGAAATTACGTAAAATATACATACGTGTGAATATGGGCAAAGTGCCTATGAGTGGTATACTGTTGGGCTGTTACGCTTAAGAATAAACCCCCCTGTGGGCTGTTTAGCCCCTCGGTGCTGTTCCATATGTAAATCAATTAATTATAAGGAGATATTACAGGTTTAAGAGACATAAAGCTAGGTAAATAAATCATGTGTCCGGTAGAAGCTGTCTGACTTCTGGCTCGACAAGATGGCAGCATGAGTAGATCAGTGTGGCAGGGGTGCATAGGCTGGAAAGCTTGCTTTTATCCGATCCCTTGACTTGGTGTGCGGATTCCTAGATCCCAAAAGCTGTGATGTCGATGGGGGTGAGTGAAGGCCCCCCTCCAGCCCAAGGCCTTTTGGAGTGCCGGGATCTTAATTTCACGGACTTCTCTCATAGAGTCCTTACCATCTTGGGAGCAACGAAAAGCCTGGGGGGTCTGCTGCCGCCAGAGACGGGCGGTCTTCCGGCTGTGTGGACTATTCTTCTGGGGTAAGCCCTTGGTGGCCCTCTGCCTAGGTAGGCCTATTGTTAGGGAAGATTGATGCTGTAGAGTAAGCTACGCCCGATAGAGGCCTGTTTAGCTGCACGCTCTGATCCCCTTTTTCCTCTGTATGCGGCTGGTGTGGCATCGGAACCACGCGCTTCTCCAAGTTCGCAGAGAAGTGTTGGAATATGTTGTCTAAGCGTTCCAGAGACTGCTCCACGAAGTTATGGAGAACTCCAAGGACTGCTTGGGAGCTCCCCCTGGAAAGCGGGACGTGTCCGCCATCTTGCTGAGGCTACTGTGTTTGAGTTCCTCTCAGGAACCGGCAGTGGTAAGCGCACCAAGCCAGGGGGGACCAGGATGACCCCCACCAGTCCAAAGTGTGGGGGGGGGGGGTGGTAGGAGATCAGCAGTGCAGCTTGGTGGGTGTATGAGTGGGAAGAGCGGCACGTCCAGCTAATGCTCGATTAGGCCGCATTGCAGCATTTCGGGCTCGCGCCAATGACAAGCTTGTGGCTGGTCTCACTCGGTTCGTCTGTGCATCCCAGATGTGGGTAATGCACCTTTAATAGGTTTTCAGGCTATGGTGCTGATGAGATTACCCCAAATTCGATAAGTTGGACGGGAGCCTATGCTGCATGCGTCCGGTTAGCTCGGCTGTCAGGCTCCGCCCCGCCAAATTTAAAATTTGTGTATTAAAGGAACAATATGGGCAGCGTAAAAACGTTATTGAAATTGGGTTGTTATGGTGCCAAGAGATTCCTGGTGCTGGATTACACTTAGGGGTTAAACTGTTTGTGGAAGTTTCGCTCTGTCACATCCAACATCCACTTTTTGAAACAATTCAAAACTGAAGTCTCAGACTTCCGCATTCAGGGATGCTGCTGATTGGCTTCGAGTGACAAGCTGATGCTCTGTCTAAACAAATCAGTAGCTTCCCATTCACAAAATGGCTTGAAGAAAAATAACCCTTACTATAAGTCTGTACTGTAATGTGGCAATCCTAACGTACAAGGAATTGTGGGAGTACATAAAGGTTTGTGTCCTCTTAAATTTTAGTATTTTTTGTAAAAGTGTTTACAGTTTTTGCTCTCTTTTTTAGTCTACAGTTCAGGCCATGGGGAGAGAGCACAGCTAAGCGGACAAGGGCACATGTATGAGTGTGGGGACAGATGCGTGTGATTGGTTGTGCATGTGTGGGTGGGATTATGTGGTGTGTGTTTGGTGGGAGTGCGCTTACCTCCGTGGCACTTGGGATTTGGGCCAGCAAACAGCTTCCCTCCCGCCCGCACCATTGGTATATTTAGTCACAGCTAGCCATGGGGTATGTCCTTGCCAATTACGTTTGAGGCGGTTAGGTTAATATGTGGAATGAGGTGGTCAGGTTTCAGGTCTCAACCTTCCCTGCTCTAAAGGGTTAACCGTAAGGATAAGGTCGGCTGGTGGTAAGCATTGGCAGCAAAAGGAATTTATGCCGAGGGGGGAGGTGAGAAGAAGTGGTACATAGGCTCATGGTCAGTATAATGGTAAGGATGGTTGGGTTATACTGTATGACACCATATGTTTAACTTATTTAAGTTATGGGTATTTATGTTTGGTTTATATCAAGTAAAGAAGAATATGAAAATAAATTATAGATGTGTTATATAGTATTTATAATATGTTCTAATAAATGCTGTGGCCTGTTTCATCCATAGTACATTCTGTCATTATTTGGGTGGTAATTGGGATAGTTCTATGTTAGTATGCTGCTTCGCGATTCCCCACTACGTACAGACATGTATAATATAAATAATAATAGATAAGCGTGTTAATGCTTTTTATTTGTTATTTCTACAGCACAGTTTTGGTTGATGCCAGTCCTTTATCTTTCCCAGCTGAGCTGCTGTTGCTTGCTTTCTTGCACTGTTTCCCAACTGCCTCATTTACCTCTACACAGAATATACTGATTTGTCACTCTGCCAGCTGACAAGCTGAATTTAGTCCCTTGTCATGTGGCAACTTCATAAACTCTGACAGCACTGGATGGCAAAGCAGATGCAGCATCTGCTTGAGTGAATGAAGGTCACATCTTTAAAAAGACCTGCCTCTGCATCTATGGTGAAAAGGGAATCACATAGCAGCCCATACCCAGGACAGGTGACCCTTTAGCAACCACGGGTAAGTTATCAACTCATTTTCTACAGTTAATTGGCTGCAAAACAGTCAACACCCTAAAGGATAATGACACAGGTGAAAGTAATACAATTAAGTAAACCCTCCAGGGACCATAACCACTACAGCACCCTCATATCCCATCCAGTATTAGGAGCAAAACTGTTTAGTAATGGGTGTATGTCAAGCTTTCCTCTACACCTTTCTGCTAGAAGACCCATTGCTGGGCTTAGCACAGTGGAAAGAGCTTGCAGCAGCACACATCAGATCCCAGGTAAGAAACTGCCAAAACTGCTTGACTCTTTAAAATGGGTGAGTGTCTCTAGGGCACTCTTAGCACCATAGTTGCTACAGTGTGCTGCAGTATTTATGGAGCGGAAGTGTCAATTAAAGGAGTACACCACTGCCCAAATAAAAATAAATAAATCATGTATGTATTCATTGGGGGTATATCTCAAGCGTTTGCAAAGACTGCAGATCTTATGAACTGCAGCCTTAGCAAGCCCTCCCCTTTTTTCACAGAAGAGACTTTCAGTCTCTTCACAGGAAAATAACCAATCAGCATCTCCTCATAGCAGTGAAGCATTGCTCTGTCTAGAGATGCTGAGCGTTGGTGCAGCACAGACCCAGGAAGCATCTCTAGTGGCTGAGTGACTGCCACTGGAGGTGTCCCTAGGGAGCAATGTAAACACTGTCTTTTCTCTGAAAAGGCTGTGTTTACAGCAAAATGCCTGCAGGGACAGGTTATAGACACCAGAACAAGTACATTAAAGGACCACTCTAGCTTAATGAAGTGGGTCTGGGTGCCAGGTTCAGCTAGGGTTAACCCATTTTTTTTTTTATAAACATAGCAGTTTCAGAGAAACTGCTATGTTTATGAATGGGTTAAGCCTTCCCCCTAATCCCCTAGTGGCTGTCTCATTGACAGCCACTAGAGGTGCTTGCGTGCTTCTCACTGTGATTTTCACAGTGAGAGCACGCAAGCGTCCATAGGAAAGCATTGTAAATGCTTTCCTATGCGACGGGCTGAATGCGCGCGCAGCTCTTGCCGCGCGTGCGCATTCAGCCCAGGAGGAGGAACGGAGGAGGAGAGAAGGAGGAGAGCTCTCCGCCCAGCGCTGGAAAAAGGTAAGTTTTTACCCCTTTCCCCCTTCCAGAGCCGAGCGGGAGGGGGTCCCTGAGGGTGGGGGCACCCTCAGATCACTATAGTGCCAGGAAAACGAGTATGTTTTCCTGGCACTATAGTGGTCTTTTAAGCTGAAGAATGCTTCCACCATAGTGCTGGAGTTGAAAGTAGGCAAAGGGTGGTGGTAAGGAGGTAAAATAAATTGTTTTAGTAGAGTCCTCAGTGAGACAGGTGTTCACTGTGAGTTCTACACAAGGATATAAATCCTGTATTTCTACTGTTAAACTATAAACTATTATACGCATATTAACATTTTTTTTTTTTTGTGAAGTAAAAAAAAAAAATTGGCAGGATGTAGGGTTGTGTTCATGAATGATCTGGTTACAAACATGTAAGACCTTGGATATAATTCATAGACTGAAACAGCTTTCATGTCCTTTCTTTCCATTTTACGTAGTTGTTCAGACAATAATTGAGTGGAATACGAAATAATCTTTTACAGGGTCATGTATCCCAACATTCTACTTCGGTTTAATTAACATTGATTGACACTTCACTGAAGGAACATCAGTCAGATGTACCTGATAGGTGCAGTTATTTGCATGTTTGCAAGTTCTTTTGTTTTTGTTCTGTGTTTTTGTGCAGTGTGTTTGCCTTGCAGACACAGGGGAATTAAACCCACACATTGTTCTGAAGGCTGTCAGAATACGAAAAAGTAAGTGCTTCAATGCCAGTCCCTGGGGACTTTTAATAGTTCAAGAATTAACAACATTCTGCTACTGCGAAGCTGATGCAGTAAGTCACCTGATTTTAAACAATGGGAGTTGTGATTTTGCTGTTAAGAGGGGGCTTATTAGTGATACGTGATAACTAAACATCACATTTACTCTACACTTACAGGTGACTGTCTTCATTTAGTTTGACAGGATCTCATTTCCTCTCTCCCTTCCCACAAAATATTTGTACCTAATGAAACTGAGTTGGAACAGTATCTTTTTAACCCCTTAAGGACCAAACTTCTGGAATATAAAGGGAATCATGACATGTCACACATTTTTTCCCTTTAAATTACTGTGTCATAGACGGAGCACAAAGCACCATAACAAGTCAAACAAGGTGGTTAAGGTCACTCTATTTATTCCTGGGGGTCTCTTACTATTACCCAAGGGATAAACCCTCGCGTTTACAAAATCAGAAAAACAGATTTTAAATTATGGATGTATTTCACTCCAGCAAGCAATGAGTGACATTATAGAAACGAGGCATCCTACATACTCTTTGTTGAGATGTAATGGCATGCATATCAGATGCAACATTCCAGGTTATTTTCTGTCCTTAAGTACATTGTATTTTATTTTTTTTTTTTATTTCACTTCTCGATGACTAGCTAAAGGACAAGTTAAAAAATTTTTTTTTTAAATTTGCATTTAATAGTGCTAGCATGCTCCTCTCCAGTATGCTGTTATTTTGTTTGCAGCAATCTCTTTACTGAAATGTAATTACTTTCCTGTAATTAGCGTGGTGATTGCTTTTTAAGAGCTCTCTGTGTGTTTGGTCCTGCTTTGGTTGTTATTTCTAAACTTCAAGTTGTATCTGCAATGCAAATGTCCCCACTGGAAAACGGTTTTGTACTTTTGATGCAACCACCAACATTCTAAGCATGTTTTCTGCTTATTAGAACAGTGGTGTATTTGCGAATGCTTTTGATATGAAAATGGTTAATTTGAGAAAAATTAGAAAGAAAACAAAAATAAACAAGAAAACATGAAATTCTTTAAGAGCAAAAATTTAAATTAACCGAACCATGGCCTTGATCACAATGAAATAGATGGCCATAATAGTACAATGATTAGCGGCTCTTTGTTTCCCCCCCCAGAAAACATTAACAAACTATAAATAGCCCTTTCTGTCTCCCATACCTTCTATCTGTGGTCACAGCAATAACCATAAGGGGTAGATCTACCTCACTGCTATTGCTTATACCTAGGGAAAGTAAATGATGATAAATATGAATACATTTGCTAAGAATAATAGCCAGGAAAAGAAAATTACGGCATGTATTAAGTTGTACCAACTAATAATAGACAGTACAAAGCAATGACCAAGTGAGAAATATAATAAGAAACAAGCAAAAAATAGAAAAGTGGAAGTCTCCTCAGGGAGTAACTCTCCACAACAGGGCCTAGCCCTGGTCTATATATTACAAAAGATAAAAAGCATCTATAAAGGACTTAGAAATAGGAGAATCCCTGAATATTAGCCGTTTTAACTTAAAGGACCACTACAGGCACCCAGACCACTTCAGCTCAATGAAGTGGTCTGGGTGCCAGGTCCATCTAGGATTAACCCTTTCTGCTGTAAACATAGCAGTTTCAGAGAAACTGCTTTGTTTACAAATGGGTTAAGCCAGCCGCTAGTGGCTGTCTCACTGACAGCCGCTAGAGGCGCTTCCGCGATTCTCACTGTGAAAATCACAGTAAGAAGACGCTGGACGTCCATAGGAAAGCATTGAGTAATGCTTTCCTATGGGCGGTTTGAATGCGCGCCTGGCTCTTGCTGCGCATGCGTATTCAGCCGATGACGTCGGAAGGAGGAGGAGAGTCCCTGGCGCTGGAGAAAGGTGAGTGTTTAACCCTTCCTGCCCCTTCAGCCCTGGCGGGAGGGGCACTCTCGGCACTATAGTGCCAGGAAAACAAGTTTGTTTTCCTGGCACTATAGTAGTCCTTTAAAGAGTAAATCTGTGCTTCAGAGTGGTAGATAGATATTGAAATTCAAACAACAACAAAAGCCCTATGTTAAAATACATCCTAATCATAGTGTATGCTAAAAAGAAATGCCATCTGGACACAACCAATGCGAATAGTATCCACGCTCAGTTACCTGACAGTTTAGCAACCCTAACACTGGAAGCAATTCCAGTCACACTATTTACTGCTATGGCGGCGACTACTCACAGCTAAAGGGCCACTAATCATATGCCTAACGCAGTCTAACTGAATGTTCCTACTATGTATTTGTTCATCTATAAATATAAAAATAGTCACGTATTATAGATTAACCCAATGTTGTATGTTATTTGACAATACAAGAGGATTGCCGTTGGGGTAACTCGCGCAAGTATGTTACCTCTTTATGTACTGCAAAAATAAAGAACTGGAAAAAAAACCAGACCTCTGGTCCGGTATCTAATGCTGGTCATCCTCATGTCTGTGGGGGTGGACCATGGACAGAGCCTAACCCAGCACCGAGGGACATCGGCGCTAGATTCATGTAAATGACTTAAGGGGAGCAAGGGAGGGGGGGCACTGCAGGAACCTAAGGTGCCAGGAAAATGGGTTTGTTTTCCTGGCACTATAGAATCCTTTTTAATTTGCAAAAGGTGCAGATTTCAATAGAAATTGACACTTTTATAAACCCGTGTCACCTTGGCATTCAAGCAGACAACACGTCTTGTTACTTCCTGGTTTGGTTAGCTCAGTGAAGCTAAACTCAAGTGGCAGCAGTTGCTCCGAGCATCTGCCTTGCAAAGACTTCTTATTGGGCTACATTGGGAAGTCTGTGATTGGACAGCCACAGAAAGTAGGGGCTGTATTTAATTGCACAATTAAATACTTGCAAGTTATAAGTTGGGGTATATCTACTAAACAGTGATTTTTAAAATGTATTTGTATTTGGGCAGTAGAGTATCCCTTTAAGATAAAGTGACAAAAGAAAATATTAAACCAGTTCCCGTTGAATTGCAAAGTAACACTATAGTTACCCAGTCCATTTCATCTCAATGAAGTGGTGTGGGTGCAGTATCTCTGTCCTCTTAACTCTGCAATCTGAAACATTACACAGGATAAAACCTATTAATACAAACATAAAACCAACTTAGTGTAGACTGTATAAAGGTGATATCCATAAAACCAAATATGGAGAACACTCACATATTTTAGAGCCCTTAAGATCGGCTCTGAACTCAGTAGGTATTATGTATCCACTCAGCGTGTGGTTTAGTCGATGGGCCCCGTTGATATGATGAAAATCAGGAACCGCAGTAAAATAAGTATTATATTTTATTAAAAAAGTTAAAACAAAACAAACACATGATAAGTGGTAAAAATGATAAGCACAGCGCGTTTTGACCGTAGCTGGTCTTCCTCAGATGCACCCGAGGAAGACCAGCTGTGGTCGAAACGCGTTGTGCTTATCATTTTTATCACTTATCATCAAGTGGCCAGTAAAGGTGTCCATAGGCGGCAATTTAAACACAGCCTTTTCTCTGAAAAGGCAGTGTTTACATGAAAATGTCTGCAGAGAATGATTATACTCACCAAAACAACAACATGTGTTCTGGTGATTATAATGTCCCTTTAAGTAGTGTGGTGGCTGACCACTTCTTGTCAGTTGAGTCTTATGTGTAATGCTCTGGATTTCCACTGGGAAGACCTTTAATATTTTTTGCAGTGCTTTTTTGTTTTTTGTTTGTTTCTGAGCTTAATGTCTCTTTATTTAAAACAATTCTGGATTTTTATTTGGGCTTTTTGGGGCCAAAGACAGAAACAAAAAGATGTCAGATACTAGGTATCGAAAAACAATGTTTTACAGAGTTATAGGTTTATTGCCAAACTCCTTACTATTTTTAGGGTGTGTTGTGTAGGTATTTACAATTTTAGAGGGGGATAAAAGGGGACCACATTTTTCCAATACCAATACCCCATCTTGCTGCTTAGGGGATGTGGTATTAATGGTAGAGCAACGTCTGGCTGCTCACTGTTTAGTATATACATGATACATTTCTTAGGGTGCTGCCAAAGGGCAAATAGTATAGATTTTAATTAATTACTTGTTAAATAGTAATTTTGATTTGCTTGTCCTCGGGCAAGAAGTGTTTAGTAAATACGGGAATGCAATATTTCATACAGTATGTGCATGTGAAAAGTTCTGATTTTAAACCAAATCTTGCTCATTTGGTTGAAATTAATGAATTCCAACTGGTTTTGCCTTTAGTATACATTCAGGTCCATAAATATTGGGACATCGACACAATTCTAATCTTTTTGGCTCTATGCACCAACACAATGGATTTGAAATGAAACTAACAAGATGTGCTTTAACTGCAGACTTTCAACTTTAATTTGAGGGTATTTACATCCAAATCAGGTGAATGGTGTAGGATTTACAACAGTTTGTATATTGTCCTCCCACTTTTCAAGGGACCAAAAGTAATGGGACAATTGGCTGCTCAGCTGTTCCATGGCCAGGTGTATGTTTTTCCCTCATTATCCCATTTATAAGGAGCAGATAAAAGGTCCAGAGTTCATTTCAAGTGTGCTATTTGCATTTGGAATCTGTTGCTGTCAACTCTCAATATGAGATCCAATGAGGTGTCACTATTAGTGAAGCAAGCCATCATTAGGTTGAAAAAACAAAACAAACCCATCAGAGAGATAGTAAAAACATTAGGTGTGGCCAAATCAACTCTTTGGAACATCCTTAAAAAGAAAGAACGCACCGGTGAGCTCAGCAACACCAAAAGACCCGTAAGACCATGGATAACAACTGTGGTGGATGACCGAAGAATTCTTTCCCTGGTGAAGAAAACACCCTTCACAACATTTTGCCAGATCAAGAACACTCTCCAGGAGGTAGGTGTATGTGTGTCAAAGTCAACAATCAAGAGAAGACTTCACCAGAGTGAATGCAGAGGGTTCACCACAAGATGTAAAACAATTGGTGAGCCTCAAAAACAGGAAGGCCAGATTAGAGTTTGCCAAA